TTATAAGACGTATATACTATCTGTCATCGCGGTGACAGGTTGTGTTCACTGACAACACGTTAAATAAAAATAACAATAGCGTGCGCGTAGCGCACTGTTGTGCTAGTATTCTAAAAACGCTGTAATATTACTGAGTAAATGGTTTACTGATGTAATGTACTTCAAGTGATATTACGTAATCCATTTTGTAATACAAACTGTAATTAGGACCATCACGCGGTCGTCAATTTCTCGTCGAGATGTTTTGATAGCGCGAGGCTGTGTCCTTCTTGAGCTTGCCTCGCGCGCAGGTGGGTTAACGAGTAATGTCTAATCTATGCATCCGCTTATCATAATGGCTCTCGTTATATTGTGAGTATAGCTCCGGAAGCCCGCAATCCCCGCCGTCGACCACCCTCTTTTAGTCTTAGACTTTCCTTCTCCGCGGGGATGTAATAAAAATATTCCAAGCAACTGAACGATATTACGCCGTTACGTGCTCGCCGGGCGAAATTAAGCGGTTGAATGTTGTCTCCGCTGGGGTTCGAGAAGTATATAATCGTTGTATAAAGAGAATGCACATTGTGAAAGCTACGTGACAGCTCGTTACGTCGACGTTCGATGATCTGTATCCAAAGTCTATCTAAATGTTATACAAGTTCTGATCGGAAACAATATTAAATATTGCCTCGGTGAAATTAATTTTCAAGAGTATATTCGCGAACGTTATGTACATTCAACGCTAAGTTTATATTAATTTTAAAATGACCAACTTAATTTATTTTTTTATGTACAACGATATAAATCGCAATTTTACGCGTTTCACGACGAGTTAAGATTTCGTTCCGTCGTTATAATAACAGGTTTCTGGGAAACATGCGAGCTCGGCGAGTGTCGGCCGAAGCGGTGGCGTTCTATTAAGCTAAAATCAGAGCTCGCAGAGCGCGGCTCGCAGAGTCGCTCTAAATTATTATAACGCGAGGAGATCCGCGTACCTTCACGGACAATGAAAGGTACACCGTAACGTCGCGACGTTTGTTTTGTCGGCCTCGGCCACGGCCGCCACCGCCGTTCGCTCGCTCGCGCTTCGCGCACAACGATGCTCTCGCCTACATTTCGTATATTTTATTATTACTCTCGCACTTTCCGCGGCTGGACACGGTAACGTTGGCAAGGGGGTTGACGGCGGTGGTTAGCCCGTGGCCGTTATTAATGTCCGCGGCATGCCAGAAAAAGCGAGCAAAAGGCCCGCGCGCGTACCCGGAGAGAAAAAGACAGCGGGCATCGGGTATCACCGGCACACAACGGGGTGTCTCTGGGATATACACCCCCGCGACACCCCGTTAGTACATACGTCCCGCGCAGAACGGCGACACGGCCACCAGCGCGCACAAGCGCCAGGAGTTCTTAATAATTGATAAAAATGTACGCACGCACCGGTAAAGAGAGAGGAAGGGAGGTAACGAGAAAGAGAGAGAGAGAGGAAGGTAGGAATAGGACGAAAAAAAGAGCCAGACATAGTGGTGGTGACGGTGGTGGCTCTCGCCCCAGCGGCTCCGACCCTCGTGTGTCCGTCCGACTCGCCGCGCCGTTTCGTTGACAAAGGCATACGCAACGATTTATTCGCACTTTTCATCGCGACCTCTCTCGGGAATTTTTCTTCGTTCTGTCACAATTTTGGAATTATCAGAATTTATGCCTATCCCTTCGCGCTCGTGGCCGGACGCGCCCGCGCGTGTATTCTGATAGGTATTAAGCTGTCTTGATTATCATCCGCGATGGTGGTGGAGGAGGGAGGCGGCGAGGTGCTCACGGAGATGCTGCGTTCGATGGCGTTGAATATTCCTAAATAAAATGAATGGCAACAGGACTAACGCATTTAAGGGTGCTCGCAGTCCCCGCTCTAGTCGATATTTGTCGACACCGGTATAAAAAAAAAAAAAAAGAGCTTCGAAGAGAGCACATCATAAATATCTATATATTTCCCGGTCGTTTATATTAAATAAAATAGATCTATTGCTATTTAAAATCTGAATATTGTACACGTGCGTGAAAATAGTAGAACATGGAAATGTGCGAAATTGATATTATATTTAGATACATATTTCAAAATCAATTTTTAAAACAATTGACAAAAATAAAGAAAGCAAATTTTCAATGTTCGCTTCAGTGTTCAGTAATCTGATCTTCGTCTGCTGAAAATTATTGTTTGTAAACGAAATTTTTAGAAAACTAATTTTCTTGAAAAATATGTTAACAGCCGATGAGCAACAAGAAAGAGGACAAAATTAAGTTTTTAAATCGGAACCGATAAAATGTGTAAAGTAAGGTCGAATTACCTGTCACAAGCGCGACGTGGTAATACCATCGCGACTTACCGGAAATTTTTCGTCGAAAACAAAAGAATGAGAGGCCTTGCAGCGCCCGGATCTAATTAAGAAATTCTTACACGGCAGTGCCGCGCATTCTGCCACACCCTCTCTCTTCTTTTTTTTCTCTCTCTCTCTCTCTCTCTCTCTCCTATCCGGAGCACGTCTAGAAAAATTAAAAATAATTTTCCTACGTAAACGTATTAACCCCGGTGGCGGTGGACGGGCTTTTTGCGCTGCGCTTTTCTCGCAATTTGTACAAAGAACGGCACGGACCTGACTTCAAAGTAGATCTTACACGGTGTCGTATCATTTTATTCCGGAAACTTCTCTGCGTATTACTCGTTATTGCGTTTAAGTCACTGCCGCGACTTCGTCGTCTTCATTTAAGATTCCGAGACAAATTCCGTAATTCTTTTCATAAATGGACAAATATATTAAATAACGGCGGCCACGTTAAAACGCAGACGATTATGAACTTCCATACATTGGGACTACCTAAGCAGAGAGAGAGAGAGAGAGAGAGAGAGAGAGAGAGAGAGAGAGAGAGCGGTTGCTTTTGAAAACTTCTTGAAAAGTCGCTTAGTTCTTTCCGAAACGGCTGGAGCAACAAAAGAACATTAAATTTCTGTTGCAAGTTTTATTCGATTAAAGCGACTGTGTGTGCCGGCTTTATTTACGTTATTAAACGCACAAGTACGAACTATTGTTATTTTCATGTGTGAGAAAGTAAATTTGGAGACGATTTAATTGTTACACCCTTCGGTCGGAAGTCACCGACAGACAAGAGATAACGGGACGCTGTCCCCGTTTTACATCTTCCTCTTCTCCCTTTTTTTCTTTCTTGGCAATAAATTCCGGGGAAAAACCTATCTGGATTTCCCGCTCGTTCTTCTCAACGCTTAGCCTAAAAATTCATTAGATTATAAAGCCATTAATGCTCATCCGCACGGTCGAACGCGTCTCTTCTTGCTTTAGGCGCACGAGTCCAGGCGCTCGAATCGGTCTGTCTCTATGTTCACGGGGAGTTTTGTGTCTTTTACATTTTTGTTCACTCATATACGAGAAAAACTTCAGCCAAATTTTATAATTTTATTTTATATTATATTTGTCTTTAATCAGATTTTTTTTTGTTTTTAATTGCAGAAATCATAACTTCGGCGATTTTGGAGCCATCACGGAAATTCGACGAGTTCGATGGCATCCGGGGTCTACAAACGACTCCCATTTACTCGTTTTGACATCAGAGAATTCTTTTCGGTAATTGCCTGACTGTTTTCAATAATGTTATTTAAGCAAAACGTGTTCCATCGCAATTTATGATAAACGTTTTCATTTGTAAGATTAATTGTTAAAATTATATCCAACGTCAATCTTACTTAAAAGTATGTAGTAATTGTTACAACCAAAATACTTCGCTTTCCAGCGAAAAGAGCATTCCTCGATGGATTACGTGTTGTTTATAATTACAGAAAAATGCAAATTCCTTCCGGAAAACGGTGTTTTAAACTGTCGCGTTTTTTTTAACGCGCATTAGATAGGGCTTAAAAGTAAGAGAAACGTTTACAAATTAAACTTTTGGCGAGTTTTGCGCACCGAAGCGTCTGGACACAGAGATCTTAAGCTGCACTTAACTTTTCACCGCAGTTTATACGAGTGCGAACTGGGCAGCACACCAAGACTCATAAAATCCTGGAAGGTAGGCCGCGCGCCATCGGGCTCGCCGAGCTCGAAAATTCCGGACTTCGTATCTCTCGGCGAGATCGCGGTGGATTTCGATTTCGTCACTCCCACTCTGAAGAAGCCGGAGATGTTCGCTAACAAAAGCCGTAACGAGGTGAGTGAGATCGCGCTGATTTCTTCAATTAAATTGTCTAAGAAATTGTTCTTACGTTCTCTCAACAAATTGCAGATAAAAGAGACGATCGGTTGGAGTCAGATCGAGTGGCCGATTTTGGTTCTTCGTGGTAACGGCGAAGTACTTATCGTTCGCGGGAACGTTTTGTTGGAAAAGTACGTAGACGAAGTATTTGAGTTGACGCTAAAAAAAAAAAATATAAATAGTATTTACATGATATTGTCTTATTTTTGGAATTAGATGATAAACAATGTAAATAAATTACTGATATATTTTTAGAATGACAAAACTTTTGTGCGTATCTACATACAAGTAAATAATAGATATATGATATGTTATCTCTCGATGTGTGGACTATAATATGGCATATATTTAACTGTTGTTAGCTACGAAAATCCAGCGGTACTGGGCTCGCTATCTATGTATCCGCCGACTGACGATAATTACGGAATAGATTCATGCTCCATCATGTGCCTGCAAACTATCCCGCCGATAGTGGTCATCGCCATGTGCACCGGAAAGATTTATCACGCGATACTGCTGCGCGAAATATTGGACGACGACAATACCGATGACAGAAAGGTATGACGTATAATAAATATTGACAGCAACAGAACCCCGTCTATATATTTTAGATTTAGTGATATACGCGCACCACTCTCCCAATGTTGAATTGTTTTGAAATAATTCCATTTAAAAAAATAAACCCCAGCTTAGATTTCTTTTTGCTCTTCAGCAATAATTGTTTTCAACTACGTAATCGATATTTTCTGTGATCCTTTTGTTTTTTTTTTACTTTTTGTGTCGCGTTTTTTTTTTCTCAGACTTGGTCGCAGTACGGCTCCACTTACAGTCTACACACGCCAGACGACGCGCTTTACGTCTTCGAATGCATCGAATTGGAATTAGGTCTTCTATTCACGGACGAAGATAAGAAATATAATTGTCCTATTCACCTTCATTCGGATAAAAGCAATAAATCGAGGTAATGAAATTAAACAAGCGCAATTATTTCAGATTGTTTGATTAATTGTGATTGACAATAGATTGCTCAATCAATATTCCGTGTCGGTTTCGATTAAAACTATTGAGTGATCAACGATTCGGTAAATTATTTTCTACGAAACTTATTTCTATTTATAGATATTTTTGTTCTCACAATGCTGGAATTCACATGGTGAGTTTACCAATGGTTTCTCAACTGGAAGAATTTATAAATTTACCTGGTGAGTGTATACTTTCTGTTAAAAAAAAAGATATGTAGAAGGAAATAAAAGTCTGAAAACTCTAAAAGAAAATTTAAAAAAATCGGTTATTTTTTCTAATATTTTTTTAAATATAAGAAATAATAATGTAATTTTTTATTTCTTATAACAAGAGTTTATTTTGCTTTCGCAGGTGATAATCATTTGCCGTCCTTGTCGAATCAATCTATTTTGCAATATCTATTTTCTACGAGAACAAAGCACACGAGCGTGGATGAGGCTACGCCGATACTTGGTTTTGGTCTTCTTCAAGAGCCTTGTGTTTTTGTTGCTTTGTTGCACACGGGTGACGTCGTTGATCTCTCCGTTATAGATCTATATTATCTGCCAAAAGCCGAGCAATTAGAACCTGCTAATAACATTTTGAACAAGGTAAGCATTGTCAAGATGTTATGTACGGTGAGTGTTTTTGAATATTTTCTGTTTTACTTGCATTAAAAACTTGTGATCTTTTTTAAAGATTAACATTAAAATATAACGCTATCAATTTTGTTTAAGGTGAACAAAGAGTCATTTGACATGTATATAAAAAAATTATTGAGACGAGAAGTATCGCAACCTTTTACCAAGATAGGAAGTCGTACTTCCTTGAGTGAATCCTTAGAAGTGAGTATAAATATACGAATGCAGAAAATTATGACCTCTATTGGAAATTTCTCGTAATCTTTGTTACGTGCACAAAAATATTTACAGTTATCGAAGAAATCGCGTACGTAAGAAACAATTTCTATTCAACAAAGTAAAGAAAAAAAGCGCATGGAAAAATAGTCTAAATTTTAATAATAATCCAATATTAATAACTTTTATGTATTTTAGTTGTTGTATCATGCCACAAACATTTTTCGCACCCAACATTTCGTTCAGCATGACAAAGTCCGGGAAGAAATCGGCAAAAAGGTTCGTTCTTTGAAAGTTTCGAAGATACATTTGCTGAAGGAACTTGATACTTTAATGGAGACGAAAAAAGAATTGCGACAGACTGCTGAACTTTTGGCGGAGAAATATGAAGATATCAACGATAAACAGAAAGAATTTGCACGTAGAGCAGAGAAAGTTCTGAGATTGGTAAATTACAAAGAACCTTTAATGACCGCGGTTGAACGAGCAGAAGCAGAAGAATTGAGAAAAATGAGCATGAACATACGCGACATGCAGATTCGACTTGAACAACTGAAGAAAAAATCTGCTCAACAAATCGTACAAACAGACATCATTGAATCTAATGGTACCAAGAAAGAAGTAGTTTTTACACATAATCAAGAAGAAGCGATAAGACTGAATCTTAGTCAAATGTACGTATATTTATGTAATAACTTATGAAAAAACCTCATGTGTTTTGTGTAAATTGATTCGAAACATTCTTTGCGTCATATCTTTACCAAATATAATTGTTTCTATGTGCGCACATATTATATAAATGTTTTTTATTTTTTCAGGTCAAGAAACATAAAAAACTTAATAGACCAGGTGGAACAAATTAAAGCAGAGATTAGTCTTACATATATCAGCAAATAATATGAAATTTTTCTTTTACTTAGTATTTGTAATTAGTATTTTTCTTTAATGTATTTACTGACATAATATTTATATATAATATACAATTTTTGTTAAATAATTTCTACAAGACAATAAGATAACTAACAAATTGTTAAAATTCTTTCAAATTTCAATTCGTGTAAGAACAAAAATTTGTTTAATATATATGTATATAAGTATATGTAATAAAAATATCTTTTATTAAATCTCTTAATTTTTAAAAATTTATATACAAAGTGGTATTACACATACTGATCAATTTATACAAGAGATTAGAAGATATTTGTATTAGATATACGCGCATGGTAAATATTTATTGAAAAATACTACATATTACGAAGACATTTGTTTTGGATATAAAATAACGAAAAATACATTAGTGTCAAAGAATTAACTGATCATTCGCTATCACCTTCGTCGATACTGTCAGGTGGAACTGGTGGTGGTTCATTTTCGTACATAGGCGCAATCTGGAATAGCATAACACACATTAGAAAGTATTTTTATAAAAAGAAAAATTATCCGCAAAGATTTAAAAAACTATGTAAAAGTAGCGCAATTTTACCGTGTTCACTGAACTTGGAATACATTTTATCGAAGAATAAATATTGTCGGATGCACTTGTTACTCCTGATCTCTCGATATGTTCCTCAGTTTGTTGATCGCTTTTACCGATATTTTTACTAACTGTAGGATGTACATCCTTATGTATTTCAGATTCCGTAGACTCCTCGTCGGAGTCTTTGTACAACACTTGTAAAGTGATATGCTAAAGACGTCATTTTTATTAGTTTCAATTTTCAATTTTTTATAAAAGTATGTATTTTTACCTTTATTGTTTTTGCAATAGTTGACTTTACATAGTCCAAAGGAAGTTCAGACTGTGATTGATTTGTAAATTTTTCTGACAATGCATGGTATGTCCTGTTCATTATTTGTTTTATTTCTTTGTTTTTTCTTTCAATCTGTAAAAAATAAGCAAATAATTGTCGACAATTAAGAAGTGGGAGTAGAAAGAGCTAAAGAAAAAATTTTGAAAAAAATTATTACGTCATTCCGTTTGAACGTTTCGTCTGCCTGATCTCTGTTATACTTGCAAAGTCTATTTTGTAAATTAATATTTTCTTCTTTATATTGATTCATTGTATTTAGAGTTACTTCTAAGGTTTCTTTGGTTTCCTTCAGCTCGTTGTTTATTTTGCTCAGATTTGTTCCTAATTCTTGGAGTTTTTTATTTAAATCCGCGTTAGCTCGCAACAATGATTCTTTCTCTTCTGTAATAGAGAAATCAGTAATTACTAAAATTATATAAATTACATTCTTTTATATAAACACTTAAATATGGTTTTTAATTTTATTTTAGATTATCATCACCTTGTGATTTTTTTAAATCATTCTCCAAAATATTTATTTTGCTCTGTGATTGTCGAAGATTCTCATCCAGTGTATCTTTATCGGTGCTCTTTGGTGATTCATTATCTCTTGCGTTCATTTGAGAGGCGTTAAAAGCTAAAAGCATTTTCAAAGAAGCATCCAAAGCTGCTTTATCATTTGCTGTTGGAGTTGCTGCATTTTGAAGTTCGAGCGCGTGAAACTACACACATAATAATTCTGTAATCAATGTATTATCAATGTATTACGTTTTTTTACTCGCAAACATACCTTATCTAATAATTTTTGAATATTATCGGATATTTTAGACATCCCCATTCGTATTTCTGCATTTGTTATTCTAGTTTCTGACAGCAACATATTGAGAGGATCCAAAGCAGTTGGTATCGTACGATTCACAGTCTGGAAATTGTACAAATTATGTTTTGTTTATCATTCTAACAGATAAAAAAAATATAGAAATATTTGTACAGCTAAATAAGGCGACGTCCATATTTGTTGTGTTGATGAAGGCGCAGCAATCAATGACTGATAAGTGTTAGGATCTAGAGAAGGCATTTCAGTTCTCGTCTCTGTAATTTTCTGGACGACCTTCCTTTCTTCTGACAAGTCATGCGACAAATTCTTTTTTTGCAAACTTCCTTCTGATTGCTCGATCTAATGTATATAGTACATAACATTTTAGCAAAATAGACATTTTATGTTTTACAGGAAAATTTATAAAATATAACTAACCCTTTTGTAACGTGGAGATTTATGAGGTATATCATCCTACAAAATATAGTATTGCTTTTCTTTTAGATCAGAACAATAACGTGGATAATTAGTTTGACAAATTCATGTACATTAGTTTTAACAGTTTGAATATCAAAAAGTACCTCCGTATCTTCGGAGTCGGTAGTAGAGAGTAAGGGCATCTTTGGCAAAATAGACTGTCCCATTTTAGCCATTCTCGATATTATTGCAGCTCTTCCACTTGACGTTTTAGATGTGGGTGGACTTTCTTCCGATGTTCGTACATCGATTATCTCAATCATTAACATAACATATCTCTCCTTAGGAAACCCAGGTCCTAAACTAATCTATGTAAAACTGTTTAGTGAAGAACGTCGTTACATATAGAATATTTATAGAAATTTCTTGAAATTACCTGTTTGCCAGGAGGTAAGAATAACATTCTTTTGAGACCCTTGTTACAACCTAGAAGTGTCCTTTCCCAATTGTTATCTGGTGATATTTCTACAGTCATTGTTTGCGACATTATAAGATTTGAATTATTTTTGAAAGGTTGCACTATTTCAGTTCCCACAAAATATTTTATATGTACATTATCTCCTTCTTTCACAATTACATCTTTATTGCCTGGTTGTAAATCTTGATAAATTACATTTTCTCCTTTGTCTTGTGTAACAAAATAGCGTGCCAGTCCTACTTCTATTGCAAACTCCACATAACTGTCATTAGTATCAAATAAAACTGACCAATTGTTTTCAGTGTTATTAACTGTGTCATAATAACTGGCATAATTGTTTGCTTGCACAGTGTATACAAAGTCGCTTGTTATTCTCACAACAGATACATACTTTTGCTTAGTTCTGTACAAAATTATTTCATATATCTTGGACATTGTATTACCTGTCAGTGCTATACCAAGCTTTCCAACAGAAATATATTCACCATTTTTCCTGAAACAATAAATTAGTGTAAAAAACAATATAGACACATCAATTAAAAACATAGAAAAATTTATATATTATTATTAGCAATTCTCAATGTTTACAGTTGAAAAGCATGTACAGCTTTAGCTGTAAGGACTTCAGTTTTAGAAGCTGATGCAGTTTGTTGTACACTATACTGAGTATTTTCCTTTGTGGAAGTTGTTTGCTTCGAGGAATGAGAATCTGTAAATTTTTGTTGTAGCCCAAAAATTGCAGCCAAGTTAGACCTAAAAAAAATAATTATTTGTTATTTTTAAGTACGACAGAGTCACTTTTATCATACAAAATTATATGAAAACACACCCTCCTGAGGGTGCAAAATCGGGCTCATCGTCATCTCGAAAGATTTTATCGAGATTTGGTAGCTGACTTTGCGAGCTCATAATTACAGATGATTTTATTGCGGTGCTTTAATTATGTGTAAAATGACACATCGTAATGACATTTCTTAACTCGCTAAAAATTGTCTTTATTATTTCTATCGTATATCACAAATCCCGAATACATCACAAACACAAAACATTTAAGTTAAGATTACAGATCAGACTATGAATTAGTATTAATATTAGATTGACCAATTGGAACTAAGATTTGCTTTCTCCGTTTTGATTGGCTAAATTCCAATTCAAATTCATATCCAATTCGACAAAGAGAGAATTAACCAATCGTATTGATTGGTTCATTAGGCGAAGTATTCGAATGCGATTGGATCAGTTTCTTCTTCGTCGAAGTTCCATTTTGCTGCTTTTCTACGAGAGCAAAATGTTGATTGACCGCGATCGGCTCTTGCCACGCGTCTGTGCACGTCAATTTATTGCTATAGAATATTTCGAAACGGCCAATCCTTAATCAAGGATTATTCACTTATTAAATATTGGAATGTTCATTGGTGTATCCAGGGATTGACGTGTTAAAATGAAAGTTTAGTTGGGATTTTTTTAGTTATAAAATGTTTAGATAGGGGTTTGACACATACGCCACGTGCTTGCGCGCAAAGCCGCGAGACGAATGACAGCCTTGCATGCAAATCATAAATGACATTTACAATTACGAATAAATTGTGAAACGTGTCCTGCAAAGGTGGCACTCCGTGATACACGTAGACGTGACATAACCTCCGTCAATTATCGCGGAAAATATTTCACAATATTTTACGTGTTTAACGATGTAAAGTGTTCCTAAGAATTTTTTATAATACGCAATAATTAACGAGCACTGTGCAGCAAAGGTGTCACACACACACACACACACGCACGATGAATTTGAATAAAACAGAAAAATTGTTAGCTGCTAAGAAAAAGGTAATGCGGATGATTTGACAACTCACGCATAAGTGCTACGTGCCATTTCTGTTTTACTAATGCTTAAAATGTCTAGGTTAATCACTTTCGACACACTGTCAATTGATTTTACTTATAAAATTACAATTGTATCTGTGATTTTTATTGCAGCTAAAAGAATTTCAACTTCAAAAAAGATTGCAAGCACAAGAGGCCTTGAATAAACAACAAAATATAGATGCAAAAGATGAATCCGTATCTCAGGTGATTACAGTTTTTTGATTGTAAATAATGACATGTTTAAAATACATTTGTATATGCTTTAAGTTTTTTTTTGTTAAAGATTTATCTCTTTATTGTGTGTAATAACTATTATATAAATTTGAATATCTCTGTGATAGAGTATTGTACAGTTAGAATTTAAATAATATGTTTAGTAATGATAAGTTTAATAATTTATATCACAGCAATGTTAATATCATAATGTTTCTAATAGTGCCAAAAGAGTAGTCAAGAGGTAGAAGTGAATAAATCATGTGATCAAAATAATCAGAATGAGACAAAACACATAGAGGACATAAGTCAAAGTGAAGAACATTTGAATAATGTGCATAACAAAGAAACTTTGTCAAATCATGCTAATGTCACCAATAATTTAATAGATTTTTCTGAATCTACAATAACAAGTGAAATAACAGAAAAGGAATCTCCTGTTCCTCAGAACTGTATAGACCATACCGGAGTATATGATAGTAGAAACAAAGATACTGTGCATTCACATTCTCAAACAAATTTGCAGTCTGTAGAAAATGATGGAAGATATAATTTAAATATGATTCCGTCTGATAGATCACCAACAGTGCAAAAAGAACATTCACAGGAAATGGGTCCAGAAGCTGCTAATTTAGTTGCTGATGCTACAGATCATAGTGAGGTCACTTCATATAATCGTGATGTGAAGGATCTGAATCAATTTTTAAGCACATGTTTAGAAGAACAGAAACAGCTTGTAACTGATTTGCACATTCAAGCCAGTCGTTATGTAAGTATAGCTTAACTAAATATTTACTCTTATAATCTATAATTTCATTAATATTATCATTATAATTTCATTAATATTATCATTATCTTCTAAAACCTAAAACAGCATAGCAGAGTGATAGAATTAGAAAGCATTCTTGCCACAAAAGATTCTGAGTTTGAGGCTAAACTCATTCGTGAAGTAAATCCCTTGAAGGAGCAATTGCAATTTCATACACAAACCACCAGTATTTTGATAGCAGAAAAGGCAGATCTCACAACAGCCTTGGAACAGAGTCAGAAAATTGTAAAACAGTATTCAGGTTAATATATATTTGAAGTAAAACAAATACTCTCTGTAAAAATAATCCTTAAATTATATATTTAATAAAATATCTCTTGAAATGTTTGTTGTAATTAAGTTTTTGCTATATTTAGAGGAGCTAGAAGAGATAAACAGGAAATTGAAACACAGTCAACTTCGGATTAACGAACTTGAAAAGGAATTAAGTCAAACAATGAGTAATTCTACCGACACTCAGAAAAATGCCTATCAAATACAACAAGTCTACGATGAACTTGAGAAAAAATATTATGAACTCAGGTATTATATGGGCGTTTAGTGTTTTATTCCGATAAATGTATGGATATTTAAATTTGTTTATCATGTGAAATAATTCTGGTTTTTAGGAAAGAAAAGGAAGATCTTGAATTAGAAACGTCAGAATTGAAACAAAAGCTAAATTTAAAAAATACCGAATTTATTAATCTGCAACAAGAATTTCAAGAGAAAGCAGCGTTACTTTCTTTAAACGAATTGAGATTACAGCAGGTAATTCTACATTTAACTGTGAGATTGAAAATCTCACAATCTCGAGATACTGATGTGTTTTGATTGTAGTTAACTGACACATCGCAAACGTTAGAGTCTCAAAGCCAAACTGTCACAACATTGGAACAACAACTGGTTCAACTAAAAGAAACTTTAAAATTAGTGAGTAATGAGAAAGATGAAGCAAGTAAACAGTATCAGAATTACGTGCGACAATTGGATATGCAGCAAGCAAATCTGCGTGATGAGGTATGTATAAATGTTCGTATTATTTTGATCAAAAAAAATAAATCATGTTTCATTAGTGAATATTTGTAGCTCGAAAATGGGAAAAAATTAATCAATGATTTAGAAAGCAGAGAGAAAAGTTACATACAACGTTTATCCGATATGGAACAACAATTACAGCGTGAAAAAGAAAAAACTGAATTTTTAGTACCGGTACAAGATCATGATGACAAAGTAAATAGTTTAATGAAGAATATCGAAGAATTAACTATACAGCAAGAAAAGTTTCATATCGCATTATCTGAAAAGGTGAAATAAAAAAAGATTTTTTTTTAATGATGATTAAACATCATGTACTGAGAAAACCTGTTTACGAGCAACACAATGTGTTTTTCAGGATGCGGAAATTGAAATGTTAACGAAAGAATTGCAAGAATTACGAGATACAAAAGACGATACAACAAATACAGATGCAGCAAAATTAGTGCAAGCTCTTGAAGGCGAAAAACTTGGTGCATCTAGAGCTGTTTCACAAAATCAACAATTGAAGCAACAGTTAACGGAAATGGAAAATGCTTTTGTTACACTTGTAAGTAGCGCATATAGCTATACGCATTATACAATAATAGAACTGTATAAATTTGTTTTTAGAGTAATGCAAAGTTAGATTTGACAGAACAACTTCAAGCTGAGCGAAATATTGGCAGAAAATTGAATGCGAAATTAAATATTGTTGAGACAGAAGTAGATAATTTGAAAGAAAAATTGAGGGAAAAGGAAACATCCTTAATGGAATTAGAAAAGGAAAAATTGCAAAATGCCCAAATTGCAGATCAAATACAGCATTATCAAGCTCAATCTCGTCAAGCCTGTACATTGCAACAAGAACTACAAAATGCTTTGGTAATTGGTTTTAATTATTAACGATTTGTGAGCTTTTTTTTTACTTGTTTAATGTGTTCTTTATTTTTCTCACAATACTCTACGATGTGATTATGTGATAGTCTTATTAGTTAATTAAGTATATATATAAATATCTCTATACAGATACTCATAGAGAACTTAAAAAAAGAAAACGAAAAACTTGCAAAACAATTAGAGACTAAAACAAAAGAACAAACATATCTGTCTGAAGAATCTGAAAATGTTAATAAAAATGAGCCTATAATGAAGAGTGATCAAAGTTCAGACAATATAGCACCAACGCAAAGTTTGCCACTGCCTGAAAATAACACTACTTTAGCTGATTCTGAGCCTATTAAAAAATTAGAAAAAAGATTTACAGAAACAATGGAAAAGGTCGCTGAATTAACTGACGAAAAACAGAAATTAGAACATCTTGTTCTCCAATTACAAGGTGAAACAGAAACTATAGGTAGGTTGCGTATTACTTTTAACTAAAAAAAAACCAGATAAAAATGAAAATAAACGAGCTATCTAATTCTCCCTGTTTATGTTTAACACAGGAGAATATATTACTTTATACCAAAAACAACGCGCTATTCTAAAGGAGAGATGGAAAGAAAGACAACAAACCTTCCGGCAATTAGTAGAGCAACGTAATCAACAACAAGAACAGTTACATAAATTAAAAATGTTGGTTACTGAATTGCTGAAAAAACATCCTGAAACATTACTAAGTTCTACAGAAAACTGTATAGCTGCTTGTCATACAGGTAATCATCGCATACATTTATTGCATCAGATGATTTTTAATAAACATCTATTTGCAACTTGCTTTACATGTGCGGCAAAACAAAAGAATTATAAATTTATATACATATGTATAAATGTTTTGTGCACAGAAGTGAACGCTGAAATTGTTGCATCCTCCAATAGTGAGCAAGAGAGTGAAAAACTACCATTGATTGAAGATAAAACGACATCAGAGATTCTTGATCTTCTCACGGAAATCAAAGACTGTAAAGACGTGTGTACTGAATCTAACTTTCATCCTTGTCCATGGTGCTCCGGAAAATTAATTACAGTATAATATCCATAAATAAATTAAAAACCTTTTATTATATTAAACTATATCTATGCAATATTCGTTAGTTATTTATAGACTGTAATACTTGTACATATAAAAAAGTTTATTTTTTTTTTTTTTTTTTTTATCTTGTATGATATCACTCTCCCAGAAACATATAAACAGACAAAAACTTTTTTTGTCCAAGTTTAACTTACTTTATAAATATATACAGTGCCTTGAATAGTTTTGCAGAGATATAGAGAAAACTTTGTTGTATCTTTCTAGTACCATTCATCAAAAGTATAGCCAAAACACTTACTGAATATCGATTTTATTTTTTGAATAAACACTCGCTAATATATTTTAAAAGAATTTTATTTTCGATATTAATTACAAATATACAACCTATGCTTTTAAAGCGTATTTCCTTTGCGGGAATGCAGCTTGCTTGCGAATCTCTTTTAGGGTTTTCCTGCCCGCCTGATAAGGCGTAAGAGCACGCCGAAGAGCTCTTGTTTTTTTCGGTCTTAAGTCAAGCGGCTTGTATTTCTTGTTCTTGTAAAACAAGCGAAGATTTTCCTTTTGTTTCTGATGCATAATAATATATACTCGTGCAATTGCTTTTCTTACAACACGACTGCAACAAAATTAGAATTATTTTGTAATTAATAAAAACTATCCATTTATGACTTAAAAATCCTAAAACCAATATATAGTAGTTTTAGAAACTCAGACAAAAAATTACAATATTTAAGTTACTTGATATGATATACAAAATTATATACATTTCATTAGAAAAACAAGTTTGAGTTAATATTTTCATAAGAACTCACATTTTTGACAATTTTGATGCAGCTCCACCAGTTACTTTAGCTACTCTCAAAGTAGTCAGTTCTGTTTTAAGCTGATCAAGCTGCTTTAGCAGCTCTTTTTTGTCTTTGGTCCTTAACTCAGAACACTTTACTTTCGCCTAAAACATTTCAAAATCATGTTTAAGTGTGTCCATACACATTGACAGAGCATCTCTTCTCAAATTACACGTTATAATTTTATGAATTATACCATTGCCTTATTAGTACAAAATTATATTAATTACTACAGACACAAAATATATAAATCTTTGTTTTTCTACACTAAATTCAAAACTATTTAATCTCTATTGACGTTTTCAATTGAGCAAATAAGGTTATGCAATATAATGGTGTTTGTTAAGAATAGAAAAAAATTCATAGTTTATGGATTGCAAGATAACAAGTATAAGATTCTTATCAAATAATTAATATAAATTAGTCATCGATGTCTTTACTAATTTCAGATTATTATTTTACACGTTTACTGACCATCTTGAATCACTCCTGCTCCACTAAAGAAAGAATTATAAACCAGTGAAAATGGCGCTGCAACCTTAAGTCCGAATTCATAGTCGTTTCTCAAATCTTTAGATCTCGTTTCCAATTTCAAATTTCAGCTCTCAGGCTGGATCCTCATGCAGACACCGGCGCTTTGACACCGAGCGTTGATTGGTGTCTGCATGAAGATCCAGCCTAGATCTCCGACTTCAAATTTCAGTGTATCAAGTATCTTGTCGTACTTTAATAATGGAGATTTATACTACGATATAATTAATGACTTTCATTGAAAAGCTATAAACCTTTATAGCCTTCAATCAAAGAATTATATATTTCTATATATTCTTTGCTTTTATTATCTGGATTATCAAAGTTTATCTAAATTAACTAAATTATCTGAATTATCTGTATAATCTGAATTATCTGAATTATATAAATTATTTTATTATTTAATATGTATATATAAATTTGTTTTACACATATAAACCACATATACATGTACATATATTTACTTATATGATTGCAGGATACACATTGTCTCTTTCAATCACTCAAGCAATTATATAAGTAGTAAATAAATAAAGAAATATAGTGGAGTTTTATTTAGATTTGCAAATCATTTGCTCACGTACAAACGGCACTGGAAAACTTTCCTCCTCAAGTAGAATGGTATGACCATTAATATCATAAAGATCTTTGAAATATTTATGTTTATATTTTTGCACCGCAGTGCCTTCGCCAAATGTTACTATTTTTTTTGTTCCCATAATACTGGCAAACACAGCTTTGTATAATTTTTCTTTCTGATTGTGATAAATTCTAAATGGAAATATTCTGCTGACATATAAAATGACACTACACATAATAAGTCCACAGCATGATGCAATTAACTTAATCGGGTCGCTAGGAAGCTTGTATGGTTGGCGAAATAAACCTACAACTACTTCCTCTTCTTTTGGTGGATCTCTCAAAATGATATAGACTGCAGAAAGCAAGATAGCAATAGTGCCTATCCATCCACAATGATATGCAAAACTAACACATATGATAAGATTCGTTTCATCTCTGTATATAAGTTTATAATCATTACTTATATTGTCTTTACGCTTTAAATACTCTTCAGCTTTGACATTTGTCCTGTTGGTGAAATGATAACAGGTCTTCACTAGGGTGATTTTGTTAAAAGGACCATATATTATATTCTTGTGAAAAGCAGGTCGGCACAAAAGCAGAGCTTTATTCATGATATAAGCCATCGTTGTAACGATTCTGCAAAGTCACAAATGTGTGAATGTACATATATATATATATAAATTTTCATAACAAATATCAAATATAATTATTTTTGAACTTTGCAATTAAACATATAATACTTGCACATACATATTACGTTTTTATTTATTGTAGCTTTATTACACACAGTAATCACCACATTCAAACTTTTCGAAGCATCTATATATCTCTTATTTTGCCTTCTACTTTGTCTGTGCATTTATAGTTCTCAAACTTATAGGAAATCTCATTCTCTCTACAGAAAATTTCGCCTTTTATTTTCTCTGCATACCATGTGAAAAAAATTAGGTTAGGTTAGGTTAGGTTAGATTGCTATACTTGCTACACTTCAACTGCGATCTAAGTTAGCGCTACAAATGCTTCAAAGTATTATTGTATCTTTCATTTTCACTAAATATAGACAAAGATAGAACGTTGTTTCAAAGTATTTGTAATGTAACGTCGATCGAGACACCGTGTTCGAGAAATCTTGAATGTAGGCACGTGTGATTGAAACAAGGAGAGAAAAAGATCTTTTAGGATTTAATTTTCTTTTTTTGTAAAGATTTAACATGTCTTCGTTATTTAACGATGACAACTCGGATTCCGATGAAGAGTTAAAAATAAATCAAGATTATGCCAATATTTATGATTCCTTTCGTCAAAAAGAGGAGCTGCACAAACGTAAGTAATTTATGTAGTCAACAAGAGCAAGAACTTTTCTATTACAAATTGCACTAGTTAAAAAATTTATTTTCACTGTTTTAATGTTATGTGTAGTAAAAGCAAGATATGGAGAGAATGCTACAGATAACGAGTTCAGTGACAGCAGTTCATCCGAAGATGATGATGAAAATGTATGTTCTAACCTACTAGTAAATTATTAATTGTTTTTTTTTTACACATATATATATATATTTATAAAATTTTTTAAGTTTTTGTTAAAATGGAATGTATTTTATTTTCTCTTCTTTGGTTTGTATATCAAATTTAAGTGTGTTATTAATAAATGCAGTTACTCTGTGTAATACAATAATTTTTTTCAGATTGAGGATCCACAATTTGATAGAGAGTTTCTCATGACTCTAGCTTGTTTGAAAAATGATGACCCACGTATATATGATAAAAACGTTAAGTTCTTTAGTGATACAGTCCAACGTAAGACATCGGAAGATGTAGAAGGAAAGAAAACAGAAAAAAAGAAAGAGCAGGCTCTTTCTATACGTGACTATGAACGTAATATTATACTGGAAAGAAATGGGCGTTATAGCAGTGAAGATGAAGATGATACAAAACAAAGTGCTAAAATTAAAATGCCTACTTATATTGAAGAACAAAAAGAACTAAAAGATAGTTTTAAAAATGCTTTGCAAGATGATGACGATGAGGATGAAGATGGCAATGGTCTTCTAATGCTAAAACAAAAAACAGACGACGAAAAACAAAAGGCACTTTTCAATTAATTTTATTATATCATATATGTTATGTAAAAGTTAATGTAACTTACGCTTATTTTATTTATCTAGGAAGAAGCGTCATACAAAAAGTGGTTGAAAGGTCAAGAAGTACAAATAGATTCTCAGGATCAGAAAATACTTAAACCACTGCGCGATTACTGGATAGATCCTAATTTGGATCCAAATGAGAAGTTCTTAAGGGATTATATTCTGAATAATGAGTATATGGATAAAGAATCTTACAATGCGGATCTCGAGTATAATCATATTATTCATGACAGCGATGAGAATCTTTCAGAAGATGAAAGAAATGTTCAGAAGCAAGAAGAATTTGAACACAAATATAATTTTAGATATGAAGAACCCGACAAAGAATTTATCAAAAGGTAAAATAAAACAACTTAATATTTTATAATAAAATGTGAATTATCAAGTGTGTGCTCCATAATTCTTTTGCTTTATTTTTAAACTTATTCTCTCATTGAAATTTACTAAGATATCCACGAACAATGGAAAACTCAATGCGGAAGAAAGATACGCGCAGAGCGGAAAAGAGAGCAGAAATTAAAGAAAGAAAAGAGCAAGAGAAGTTGCGAAAGGCGGAAGAATTGAAACAGTTGAAAGTGTTGGCCAGAAAAGAGTTACAAGAAAAGATAGAAAAATTAAAAGAAGTTTCAGGAAATAATGATAAACGATTTGATACTTTTGATTTTGATACCGATTTTGACCCGGATGAACATGATAGAAAAATGAGAGAACTTTTTAATGATGATTATTACGCTGGCGGTGAGGATGAGAATCACAAGCCAGAATTCCCAGAGATTGATGAGGAACTAGATATCGAATCCACATGGGACAAATATGATCCAACAACAGATAAAATCGATCTGGATGCTGCTTCGAACAACGAACCTCATTGCGAAGATCCAGATTTCAATGTACTCTCATTATATAGTTGTGTTGCCACATATACATATATTACATATTTTTTGACTGGTTTGTATAATTTATTAATTGCTCTGGTTATAGATGGATGCTGATTACGACGAATCTCGAGCTTTGCAGACTGAACCTATTGAAAATACAAAGAAAAGGAAACGAAGGAGACGATCTAAATTTGCCGAGCTTCTAGCAAAAGACAAACCAAAATTTGATCCTCAACAATTTCCTTCGTATAAAAAATATTATGATGAATATTATTCATTAGATTACGAAGATATAATCGGAGATTTACCTTGTAGATTTAAATATAGGGAGGTAGTGCCCAACGATTATGGACTAAGTTTTGAAGAGGTAAGTGTTTTATACATATATATGTATATATATTACAATTTTATGATTGGTAATGCTAAAATCCACAAGTTCGGGCAAAATTATTCGGAATAGCAGTAAGATTCATAATGTGATTTAATAAACATATTTCATGTTTCAAGATTTTAATAGCTGACGAGAAAGAATTGAACAGATGGTGTTCTTTAAAACATGCTCTTAAACGCAAATCAGAAGCAGCAGAAAAAAATGATGTTTCCATGTATAAAAAAAAAGCAGCAAACGAAGCACTCAAACGAAAAATTTTGAAGAGTTTATATACGTAAGTGTTTTATAAGAATTGAAAACTATTATATGTGTATTTATATAATATATTAGATACATTAGATAAATTGTATATATGATAATTACGCATTTTTATGTGTACGTAGTGAGCCAGAGGAAAAAGAAGAAGAAGAAAATATTGAGGCAGAACAAACTAACATTAGTACTAAGAAACGCAGGCGAAAGAAGAAAGCTAAAAATATAAATTCTGATATAGAATCTACTAATATAGATGCCGTTTCTAAGGAAACAGTCACACAAATTGAAGAAAATGACACAAACAAAGACAATTTTCAAAATAACAATAATAATACGGATGATGTTTTGAAGAAAACTGCAACGGAAATTGCAGAAAATGGCACTAATACTAACAGTAATTCTCATAATACCAAGAATAACGAAAACGAAGATAAAGATGTAGAAAAGAAAGATGTGAAAAATAATAAGAGCAAAAAGCGGAAGCGAAAGAATAAATCAAATATTGACTCTGAATCGAATAATAAGAACAAAAAGAGCAAATCAAATAATGAAAACCAAGATAAAAACATAGAAAAGAAAGATGTGACAAGCAAGAGCAAAAAGCTGAAGCGGAAAAACACGTCAAATATCAACTCTGAATCGAATAATAAGAATAAAAAGAGCAAATCAAATGATAACGAGCCAATAATGTCCCTGAATGCAGAAAGATTAAAGACATACGGAATAAATCCAAAGAAACTAAAGAACAAGTTGAAATACGGTAATAAAAAGTTCTAAATAGTAATTTGTAAATATAAAGATGTAATTTATATATACTACAAGTAAATACACAGTTTAAAACGCAATGTATTTTATGTTTCCTAATATAAGGAATGAACAATTATTTTTGTAAGATAAACTTATTTCTCTCACCATATAAATCTCTTCTTTGCAAAGTTTTCATATAACAAAATTACGATAAAAAATTAAATGAATGTATCGATTATATGAAGAGTGGAAATAGTTTAATGTAACATAGAGCGAAGAGAAAGAATGATGTATATATTTAACAATATGTAGATCGTAATGCTTAAATATGTTACACACGTGTAAGAGTAAAAAACAGAAACAGCAGTCGGCGACTGCGCACGCCCTCGAGTAGGAGTGGTCTCGGTTAGGGCGGACCCGTTTTCGGATGATAAACGACGTTTGCGGATTATTAGGATTGTAGGTTGCTGTTTGTGTTTGCCTTTCTACAATTTCCATTTCTAATCCGGCCCGTATGTTTCGCTCGGAAAACGCACCCCAATGATCCGCGCGTTGCGAATATCACTTATCTCACTACGTTTCTCATTCTTTCTTCGAGTCGTGAGAGAGAAAGGCATGTGAAATATACAAATTTTTAATAACTTTTAGTAAATAATTTTTTTACAGGCTCAAATTATTGAGCGATGTATAAAAAACATTTCGAAAGTTTGACACGATACGTGTAGAAATTAAATACCGAAGAACTCAAGTGAAAGAAAAGATTTTATTACTAATATTATATTTTATTTATATTTCGGAGAAAAATTGCGGAAGAGACAATATCTTTGGATAATGTATTCGCGATGTCTCTAAAGAATTTTATTTAACAAGAGGGAACACAAAATGACATTGGTTGGATCGAACCGGTCCGCACTCAAACCTTCTTTCTCCCCCGGGTACAATAAATCAATCCCCTTAGCTCGACACGGGAGTACCGTAGTAGCAGGTGGCTCCTGACGGCCACCGGCACATTCGCGCCCTTAATTCCCAATTAATGTTATCCTCGATGTAAACGTGCGCTTCGTGTACGTCCCCCTTGTTCTCGAAACGTGTACGTTCGAACACGGTTTCTCAGAGATAATGCATCAAACGGACGTGTGTGTGTCTGAAACATTGTCTGATTTTTATTTAAATAAAAAACATTAGTTTCTTCTCCGTACGAACTTACGATCGATATTTCAATACAAGTTCAAATTAGATAAGACGTGAGATAAGACGATGCGTACGAATTTTAGCCGCGTCAAAAAGTATAAAATAAAATTTTTTCACGAGAGATACTCGATCCCTTCTCACGAACTTGCATTTTCGAGGACAATTCATGCGCAATCCTGCGCCTACAGGATACTTGTGAGTAGGTTTTTCTGTAGTCACAACAAACGAGATACTCGCGAAAATTTTTACGTGGCAAAAATTCGCGCGCACGTGTAATTGATTGGGAATAGGTAATCGCTGCGGGTCGAATTAAAAGCTATTGAATTACGAAAGAACCGAATTTCACGGACTAACGCCTCCATCTGGATGATGGTAGACGAGCAGGGTAAGTGCGCGCTTTTGGGGTAGTGTAATTGACGCAATATCCTTATCGATGTTCTAATTGGCGGAAAATTGTCGGGGAGAATCGCATCCGGTCACCGAAGCCTCGTTAACTGATCGAACAATTAAAGAACCCGCGTTGCGATTTCTTTTATTTATATATATATATATATATATATATATATTTACGCGAATCGCAAAAGTACAAAGTTAAATCCTCCGACCTCGAAATTCAATTACTTCTGTTTAGGAAAAACGTTGACGAGAAAGGAGACAGAGAAATCGATTATTTGTACAAAAGAATAAATAACATTTTATTGATATTTATATACGTATTGCTTTTCAATACATATATAGATTTGCTGACGTGTTACTTTTTCGTGCAGAGAAGAATAAGAATCTCTAGCGCTCGAGAGACAAGAAAAGAGAATGGAGCGCCTTTATTTTTCGCCTCGCAAATACACGCATAACGCGTGTATTTTATAAAGGCGATCGCCCTCGAGTTTCTCTGCGCGTTCGATGAAAAATTTATTTATGGATCGAGAGCCGTAAGAGACGTAACCGTACTAGACAGAGTCAAGTTCGTGTCGTTATGTTGTGAGATAGTTGAATTTTTGTTCTCATCCGGTGACAAATCCCCGACTTGAATAAGAATCACGAGATATGTAGTGACTGATCCAATGACCTGAAAAGAAACAAAGATATATGAAAGATATAAAAATCGTGGGAGATTTTGTTTCATAATAATATTCAAAAGAATTTTATCAGGCACGAACTTTTTTTCAGAGACTTTTTGTGTTTTAATCCGTCTTATCTATCTATTTTTGTGTAAAATTTGTGTTAGATATGCATGCGATATTTTGTAATTTCCTATATATTAAACTTTAATTGTACATTTGTGAAAAATTCACGCGAGAGATTTGATAGATGTATGATACTTTAGTGCGATAAAAATATATCATCTGCATTCAAAACAGATGTTTTGTACGTCATATTGAGAATTTCGACCAAGTCGTACAACTTACTCCGTGAATGAATGTGTGATCCAAGTTGAAAAATCCACACGCCGTGAAAATTAATGGGTTCTGTATCAGCTGAAGAGTAAAATCCCGTATCTGAAAACAATCTAACATAGATGTTTGTTTTTTTTTTTTTTTTTTTTTATTTGTGTTTTTAATACATGTCATTTTTTTTATAATAAATCAATTATTATGTAAGCTTGCCTCTGCGCGAAATTCTTTGCTAGCGGATGGCTCGTACAATTCGCAGATTATATCACCGGTGTTTGCAGCCTGTAGAAATAAGTTCGATAAGCAAATGGCGCGATTGTTTTAATTTCGTGATAATTTCCAATTATCTGATTATGTTCGTTTTAACATTCGCGGGAAGTGACAAAATGTTTCAAGCAATATAAATATATTTGTTCTCTCTGATTTCGCGAAACAAACGGAACAGTGTTTGTATACGTGAAGCTATATTTGTATATAATTTTTGAAGTTTCGTACCTCAATGGTCGCCATAGCGCACGTGTGATTTATAATGAGAACTTTTGAGGCGTAGAATAATACCCAGCACACGACCGGAACCATCTCTTGTCGATACACGTCCGAACTTATCTTTGACGACCATAAAATCGAATACGCGTAATAAAGAAGAGAGGTGATAAACACGAAAGATATCGTCATAGAAAGGAGAATCTGTATGCCATACGCTTCGTTTATGCTTCTGATAGACTTGATTAATTCCAGATGAACTTGCCTTTGTTGTCGTCATAAAAGAAGCAAGACTGTGTTAATTTTTCAATCGTACGTAAAAAAAAGCTCATTATTATTAAATTCTCTAAAATCGAAGATGTTATCAGGCAACTCAAGTAAGATTTCTAAGAGTCAACACATGGATAATAGATAATATGTGCAAAATATATAATATTTTTAATTTTCATTTACAACTATTTTTCAGAAATGTGTTTATTTTCTCGGAACAAAGATATCTATCTCACTTGACAGATCTCATTGTGTCGGTGTTCTCCCTGTTTTTGCGATCGTGCGCCGATGAGGTGACCGTCTTGTTCCACTCGTCTTTCATTTTCAGCACCCTTTTGTGCTGCGGCGAATCGGGGGTGGTTGTTAACATGCGTTGCAGCAGATTGTTCATCTGCTCGAATCGCATTTTCGAGTACCTTTAAATGTTTCAATCGGCAATTTTTTGCGGCGTGATCGAAACGAGAAAATATGAACACATTTTTTTATATACTTAAGATTTCAATATATATATATATAATTAATTGTACACACAATAAATTTATTCAGGCGCAAAATAATAAACGTCTAATTAGCGCAATTGAAATTGCAGAATAGCGAAAACTCAGAAGCGATTAGATTAGTTTTCACATTATCGTAATTAATAAACGTAATTAAGTTATTGTAATTAACAAGATATTAATTACACACAAGATTTCTATACCTGACCCAGTGCAGGAACGATGCATCGCTCACGTAGAGCAAACCTACGGGATAGTTCATGCCAATCCCGAGTATGAATTTGATGTGCAAGGGTGTTTCTTCTATGAACGATCCTTCGTAAGTGACCGCAACGAATATGATGATCACTATTATGATGTATACGAACGAGTAGATTTGAGACAGGTACAATTTCCGATAGTTCTTCTCTATTGCCATTTGCTCCATAGATTTCTCACACATTACAATGCGCATTATCGCCGTTTGCAAATGCTGCGAAAGCGCCATACATACTTGTCTTATCCTAGTTTTACTAGTCGATTGTGCAAAATAATATTGTGTTGAATCGATCCCTCGATTCAAAAGTAGAAAGAAAATAAAAAAAAAATCAAAACAAAAGAGAAAGAGATAGTTTGATAAATTAAAAATTTATTTTTTATTTAAATTTTAGAGTCGAACAAAACTTTTTTTGTAATTCGAAAAGAGAAGAACATTTTTTCTTAGAATGTAAAAAAAGAGAACGCTTTACCTTTCCCTTCCACCATGCACAGAAGACGAGACAGAACGTCAGACCGATGTTGGCGAAGAAGATAGCGTCGAACGTCGTGGTGCCGAGATCGTTCGCTTTGTGCAGGATGTAATCATTCATGTATTGCGTGGATAATATTGTGACAATTACGTATATCATTAGACACAGTAATGAGTATGTAAAATTCAGGATTCTTCCTCGCTTAGTGGTCCCGACACCCATTCCGAGAATGAAATTTGCCACGATCAATGGCATGATCATGTCGCACATGGTCTTCGGCTCGAACATCTTCGTTGCTGATACGATGATCGGCAAAACGCAAAGCCTATCGCTGATATAAATTGAGCAACACTCTTCAACAATTGCAAAAGCTCATTCACGTGGATGACGCGCGCGCACGGCTCACCTCCGTGTAAAATGAAGAAAAATGAATACGATAAATACGATAGCTGCGTCACACTTCGCGTGTTCCACGTGCGGACAACGTAATGCTAAATGCCAGCTCGATAAATGGTAGAAAACGAACAGGTGGCGGCGAACGTGAAAAGCTACCTGAGCGGACGATGTCCACGATGTTTCGTGATGCGTTTACGTCCCAAAGGATTCGTCGAAGTTCCGATCGATATTAGCTCGCGATCATGTAACGTAAAATAGTCTTATGTATGCCGTGTGTTTTTTTACACTTGTAACTATACAACAATGTTCTGTGAATAATTTTTAAATTTTTTCTTTTGTAGAGAAAGAAATGTACTGAATAACCGTTTTTTTTGCAGCAAATAGAGAGAAACCACAGAGGAGCATTTATTGGAAAAAAATTGTGAATGCTATTAGACAATTTTTGAGAAAAAAAAGTGCTTCGCACAATGTATGGCCTTTCTTTCTCTCTGTCTGTCTTTGTTACGGTTTTTATATCTATATATTTTTTTATAATTTCGAAGAGAAAGCAATTGGAAATTAGAAAAAAAATTAATTTTTCATTTTTGATTAATAATAAAGTGATTATATAACATATACGAAACATAAATACTGATAAATTTAGAAGATGACAACGCGTGCGGCACTATGAAATGAGTGACGAATATATCAGGTGTCCGTGATCTTGTAATGGATGAATGCCCGGGAGACTTTATCGGAAAGATCGATATTGTGCGAAATATCAAGTTAAGAGCTATCTTGTTAACGATAATATACCAACAGAATAAGAAATACTGGATCATACTTGCGCACATATAATTGTAAAAACGGAAGATCAACATAAAATGCAATTTGTTAATAGTGTTTTTGCATACACATACATAGATATTGAAAAACTTAATTTCAGCAATTTGTATATGAAAGAGAGAGAAAGTTTATTTTATATCTATAATATTCTCTCGCGACGGGTATTTTGCAAAAACTCTTAATAGTGTGTAATTATCAATTGTGATAATTATATATAAACTTCCTCTCTATATTGGATTTCAAAAGTCATAGATTCTGATAACATCGCCAACAGTATAGTAATAAAGAGAAATGAGTTACGATTACGAGCTGCGTATATATAAGCGTGCAATAACCGAGACACACACATTTTTCGAGTGTACACTTATCATAATACCTTTTTAATGTCCTTTTACGTTGTCATGGTTGACAACGAATTACTTAGAAACGAGAAAACAGAATTAATACGTGCCTGAGTACATTTTATTGTTCGGTTTGATGTTGCTCGTAACAATGATACATTTTATTGAAGAAAATACAAGAATTATCATAGTAATTATCATCAGCGTCATTTGTGGTGTTAAAAAAAAAAAAATTTATTGAAATAAAAGAAACGCGTATCTCAATTCTTTTACAATTACGAAAAAGAGACTAAAAATCAAAAAGAGACTAAAAATCAAATACAAAAGAGACTAAAAATCGTAAAAATATTAAAATTAATATTCCGTGAAAATATGATTCATTTAATTTTTATATTGCACGAGACGTACGTTCTACACAAATCTCTACTTTCTCTTCTAAGAATTTGTAATAATCACTCTTATTTAGAAATACTTATTTATAATTCTCAAATACGCGCATGTTGAATAGTTTTATTTGATTCTAGCGAGTTGCTCACTTGTATCGTGATAACTAGATAGGTTGTTACATATCTTAAAGTCTGCAAGAAAAACAATATACGTAGATATACGTATGCGAGATATTTGGAAAAAATATGTATAATATATTAGTATATTATTTGATACATGATTCGATACAAACCCTAGTTAAAACGGTGTTGTCCAAAGGAAGACCGAACGCTGTGAATGCGACCGGACTGTGCAGTAGTTGAATACCGAATTGCTGAATCTGTGAAATAAATTTCAACGTGCGATAATTGTGCAAGCTACAACTGATATCTACGCTAAATAAGAGCGTATAATGTATAATCGCAAAGACACAAACCTCATCTTTCAAGTCAGCGTTCGCATCGCATCCGTACATCGAGTGAATAATCTCGATAGTTTTATTTCCCTGTAATAATAAAAATAACACTGATCGAGAGAATCTGTAAGTAGATAATAATAATAATAGATTAAGTTATACCTCATCGGCAGTTGTTTTACACGCGCGGCTCAAAAAGAAGAGTTTTATTATATCGAGCAAGCCCATCGTGAGAGTTGCAATCGTCTGCTCCGTTAGGTGATCGGAAAGTTTGTATTTCATAATATATTGGATGTACAAATTATAAAGAGACCCGGTAAGAAACATAATAGTAAGTGCTATTTCGTTAGCTATTTGTACGCCGAAAATAGTACACAATGTTTTTGATATTCTACACAGTTCCAGATGAATCTGTCTGAAAAAAATGCGCTTATATTTGAAACATCGATATACTATTAATATGCTAGTAATAATATTTACTATTTTTCGGTCAAAGTATTGCAAAATCTGATTTAACAAAATGTTTCATTTCAGTTTTTTTTTATTTAACAGTAAACAATGTAGTAGTGTTTACACTCACTCCTCGCACTTACTTGATTATCTGTAAAAGATATATTCGATGTTCTATTTTTGCGGAATAATCTTCCTGACGTTGAATTCGTATTTCTTCTCGGAACTTATCCTGAAACTGGAACGGACGATCAGATTGAGCTTGCGACTTGATTGAATTTTTTTGTTTTTCCATCACAGAAATGTTGATCTGAGACTTCGATTTCTGACGATAACGTTTTAATATATTTCCGGCAAAAATGTGTTTTTGTCGCTGACAGTTCATGATGTCCGCGAAATCGTTCATTTCAAAATAGTCCTTCGGTTCTTTCGTCGACAATGAAACTTTTGAGTTCTCCCACAAAAGTCGGTTGATCGATTCGAATTTCATTTGTATGCCTCTGTATCGTTATACACAAATATAATGAAACAGATTAGATAATTACAATTATTTTTCTTTATGCAGTTGTTTACAGATTTATAATTTGCGTACCTTATATTTATGTAGAACTCCAAGATGACAACAGTGCCGATACACACTCCATACGAAAACGTGATCGTGACATACAATCTGTCGAAATGACCAAAAACATCTGGTTCAAAAAAAATAAAAACTAAGACGCATGAAATGAAAAAAAAAATTATCCAAGTGACTAATATTCCTATCATTATGAAGTAAAGTTTATTATAGTTAACCGGAAATCCGAGTTGCCGCAATGTTTCATGAATTGCGGCGAGTTTTTGTTGACAAACTTTGAATTTCTGCAAATATCAACGTGCGATTTACATACATAAAAATGTAAGATGTTATTTGTTTTATAAATTATGCTCACCTCCGTAAACCACCAGCCCAGTAACAACTTCATCAATACAGATATAGTGGTAATGTACATAAGAAATTTGTACATCATTGACTCCAGCTTCAGAAATTTAGTGTTCGAATAATATCGATGTTGCATGTGCAACGTACTGCAGTAAAATACATAAAGAAGCAGAAGATATATCAAGCTGATTATGTACCTCGGCCGACCGCGAAACTCAAAAGCGCGAAGCCCCAATAGACGAACGATAATGATCAACGGCTTCATCGTATCGGCCAAATATTTTGGACGCTTGAATAGCTTCATCGTGACATATGTCTTTGCGATATTTATCATTACATATGCAATATTTACTCGTTATTTTCGTTTATATCGATTTACACACGTGTGTGAGAAACCTTACACAGAGAACGTCGTACTTTTTCCTGAGCCAATTTACGCGAACAGTAGTCGATATTCGCGTCAGATCGGACAGCGATGCGACATTCGCATCGTTTCGTCTGTCACTGAGCTTCCTCTGTAGATCGCTGATGAAGCACACTCGCGTGCGGGCTTAATAAACGTTTATCATAAAAAATGTAGGTGTGTTAATCGAGGAAACGTGTGTAAACGAGCCGTGATGGTCTTTGAAGCGCCAACACACACACACGGAAGCAATAATGAATAACTTGTTGTGCAAACGCCGCGCGCACAGGATTCGCGTTTATTACCTCATTAATGCGTATTATACATTGTCAGTCTCGAATCGTTCCGAGCTGTCAAGCTCGAATAATTATCGGAGAAAGATTTTTCTCGTGATAGTCGTATGTTATAAGCACGCAGAGACATTGTCGCACAATCGCATTTCCTCTGACAACGACAGAAATGTATTGAATTGAGATAGATATGCTATTGTTGCTTTTTATACACACAATTGCACACAATTCCGTGGGGAAATTCTCTCGCCTTGAAAGCTACACCTGGAAAACTATTAATTAATTTAAAGGTCAACCCCGTTGAAGGGAAACCGATGATCGTGGTAAGTTACAACGCATTAAAGAGAGAGGCGTTGTTCTATATATTGCGTCTCTTACATTATTTATTTCTCTTACTGATAATAATACATGATATATTGAAATGTGATGATCACTAATTACACATTATACAAGACTGAGTAACGTTGTTAATAAAGGGAGAATTTAGATACACGTGAAACAATGAACCGAATATGAAGCTCAACAATTACAAAAATACAATTACTTCGAAGTGGAATAAACAACACCGCTAAACGTTTGATAAAAAAAAAAAAATATTCGCTTGATCGATCTTTCTTTTCACAAAATTAATACTGCGGAAATGATCTCTTTTGAGACTCGATTGACGATAATCTCTTTGCGTAACAGACAAAAAAACGGAGTCATCTAATAACGTTTGCCGGAATTGAGAGTGCAAGTGTTAAGAAGAACCGGCTCCGCAAAAATGAACCGAAGAAATCTTCAAAATCTTAAAATTTTCATTTCACTTTTCTTCGCTTTTTAATTTATCGATATTCTTTTTGTTTTCAGAAAAGCCAGTTTATAGTTAGGAAACAGCAAGAGTGATCAATCTTACGCAGAGGTCTCCGAACGATCGAGTCGCACAAATCGCATTTGCAGAACCGGGAAACGGAGGAGGTACAAGGCGACGATCCGTGAAGTTGGCCTTCCTCATCGACAATTTCATTCTTTTTCACTTAAGTCGGATCCGTGTAATCGACGGCGATCGGATACGCGGCCAAACGACCGAGCGTCGAGGGTATAGTAGCAGAATTTGGAAGAACGCGATGGGGTGGAAGTCCCATGGGGGAAGCCGTTCCCATTGTCCCGAGGTGGGACAGCTAATCCTCAGGAATCGGATAGATTCGACGGACACATCGCGCGATAAACGACGCGTTTTTACTTTTACGCGTGGCAATGAGCGCGCACGTGAATGAAGAAATTTTCATAATTTTCTGGAAGAGATATTTTATTTCTTCTTGTCCGAACACAAAAGAGTTTTAAGACTGGAGGACGTGATTCAGGTACGCGATGTAACAAATTGCCAGTCGAAGGATTTCGATTTTCGAGAGTTTCTTGTCCGGCGGCAACGTCGGCAGCAGCTTTCGCAATTCCGCAAACGCTAAGTTGAAGGCTTCCACTCTGACTCTTTCCCTGGATGGAAAAAAAAAAAAAAGTGTGACGGTCATCGCGTACAGACAATCGTCTTACAATAGATTCTTACAATTTCTGTCGGTATTTCTGTGCGCCAAGAAAATTTGTCTCAGAAAAAAACACGTGTGCGATCTTGAGAAACAATTAAACGTGTATCGAGTGTGCGCGCCACATTTTTAATTTGTTTCTTTGATATCGTGCGCTCGGAAAAGATTTCTATTTTGTGTTTTCAATCGCAGTCTTACCTCGTGGCGTGTGCCGTTCGGTATTTCTGGGTCGCTCTTCTTCGTCTGCGTCTCTCCTCTCTCGACAAAGTGCCCGAACCGGGTGCGCTTACCCCGTTAACGGGAACACCGTGGCCGCCGTTCGCCATAGAAATCGCTCTATTCTCGCTCGTGAAATCGCAATTGAAACTCTTCATGTGTCCGGACTGCAATTTGAAAGTTCTTCTTTCGCAAAGATTTAGTTCCTCCAATTTGAGGAATTGTCTCGTCTCACACCCTCCGTCGTAGACTTGTGTAGATGTGCTTCGCAAACATACGCAGAGAGACACTTGAGATATATAATTTTATTCTTCGCGCGTGTAACGTATATACAACAATGTATATAAAGACGTTATATACATAATTTATCGAATTTATGATTCATTAGCAATCTTTGGGGAATTGTGGAAAAACTACGAAAAATTTATCGCAAAAGGGTTTTACCCTTCCCGAGTATTAGGGTCGGCGATAATTGGATAGCCAAATATTTGTCGAGCACATAAGCGTAACGTACGTAACAGAATTATGGCTATGAAATAGAACGGAGTAGTCTTAAACTTTCTTAAGAAATAAATAATCGCGTCAAGAGCGCGCTTTGTGTTTCTTGTATTTTGCATTTACATTCAGAGAAAAGGGATGTGAAATTTTTTATAATTTTGGGAAACGCACGGAATTTTAACGTGTCACCGAAAACAGCCGTTTTGACGATTTATGGGAAAAGCGCGTTGCATTATTTAAGAGAAACTCGGCGCTCCGCGCAAGTTCTTCATCAAGTATTGACGAAAAGCAACCCCCGTTTCGATCTGATTTTTATGGTAAACCGGCAATTTGTATGAGCATTTACTTGTCTCTTTTCGCGTTTGTTTCTTTAATATTTCAACAAAATCGTCAGATTTCAAGAGACACGCATCTTCCCGACGACTCTTTTCTTGCAACATTTATCGCGACACCGCTATCCAATCACATCGATGCGATCCCCTGTGAGTTCTTTTATGTATTTATTTTGTTAAGATTTTACAATCTGCTCAATTTTACAAAAAAAAACCTACGTTGTATAATTTCTTTACAAAGTTTACTTCTTTTTCAGATCCAATGTTTCCTCAGTCTTTTCTCTCTCTCTTTCATCCACTTCGAAGCAACATCACTCTTCTCGCCTCACCCGCGTCTTCAATTAAATTTTTCCACCAATTAAACAATCGCGCACAAAAAAGTCTTTGTCCTGATCTCCACGTTTTTTTTTTTTTTTTTTTTATTATCAACCACAGCACGCGAGTTCACGGACTTTTTCAAATAATGTCGCTTTGCTAAACCGATAGTTTATCTACTTCAGATAAACGACGTCGGTCGTTAACTTCATCCGCGGCAACGAGATCGCTTCTGGCAACATCTCGATCTCCCGATTTCGACGGGATCGTCGGGAGAGACGGCGCGGCGGCAGCATCCCTGTCGACGTAGCCGAACGTAGGAAAGGGTGAGTTTGGATGTTTCGGGACTCGCGAGTAGGGGTTGTTTCATCTCCCGTAACCACGCCCTTGGTCCCGGCGTCGCAGGCTCCCACGTTCTCTCGTTTGCCCAGCATCCCGGGCGTTCTCCAATCAGTCGAGAGATATTCCGGCGAACCCGCCCCGACACCTGACGCCGCGTCGCCATTTCGCCGCACTTTGTAATTCACGTGGCAGTGCTTTACAGCTTCCCGGATACACGGACCGTTTTATCGATCATATAGGAACGTTTCGCCACGTCTGAAACGCAGGTTTTGTGAAACATTGACGCGCCTCGTTCCCCTTCGTTGAAAATTATCGAACGCGACAATGTTTCCGGTACTGTGTGCGTACGAACGAATTTTTGATTATATTTTACAATATTCATTCTGTCTATACTTTATTGTTCGTGAAAATTTCTGGATTCTAAACCTTGCACAGTGTGCTTTTTAATTGTAATCTCGTCAGTATTGAACAATAAACTCATGTTCATTCAGACTCACGTATGGCATTACCGATTACGTCAGTAATAAAATCAAGATATAGGAAGATGGATTATTTAACTAGATGATTACGTTATCAAATGTAGAAAGTTATATATTTTTTTAAATATGTCGGTTTTATTACTTTATTCCACGCAAAAACCTATTATATAAGAGATAAAAAAACATAGTACAAAGAATAAAATAAGAAATTCATCGAAGTGGTATAGATTTCTACGAAGGATCAGGTGGCGGAACGAGTCGCATCTGCGCCGCTCGACTAAAGATAATAATCACTATGGCACATCGTTTATTTCTTTCTTTTTACTTGTACTTTACTTTATTTCAATTAAATTTCAATTTAATTGAAGTATTAAAGTCATTTAACATTAATTCTATTTTTTATCTTTCTCTAAATCATACTTTTTCCTTCTATTTTTCGTTTTTTTTTTAATTTGAGATAAGTTCACTTCTTCTTCGAGATTCCAAATATATAATGGCTGTATTATCCAAAGAAAAAGAAAAGGAAAAAAAAAGGGTAGAACCACTCTCGCTCTCTATAAAACCGCAGAACCTGCAATTATGCAAATTGCTCAATCGGACTTCAATCTACTTTCAATTCGACAGGGCGCAACGCCAATCAACACCCATCTCGAAAATTGCACGCGTGGGGTTTGACGCGTGCGACCGAAACTACGCAACGACACGCGTGTACTCGCCGATATAACCGATTCTCGTCACAATAATCAGAGACACAACACACTCCCTGTTCGGCACGCTCGATTAATGTGTTTTTGCGGTCGCTTCAAGTGTCATGAGATAGTTCACACCTCATTACTACGGATGACTCTTTTCTCTATAGAACCCTTTGGGAAGAATATCCTTTTGTTCAGGTAAACATATACATAGTGTATGTTTACGTACACCCAGTTATAAGCAAAATTTTGGGACCGAAGTCTTGTTTATAACACGCGGGATAAAATCGCAGATCAAATTTCTTTTCTAGCAAAAAAACATGAATTATCTCCATTGCTCAGAATAAAAAACAAAAAAGAAGCAATTAGAGTCGGTTATAAAAGTATCAGTTTTTCTGATCGATTTTTGTTATTTTTTTTTTGTTAGCAGGAAGCTGTACAACAAGAAATTTCTTTGCTTATAACAGCACTGTATATATTTTGTTTTTATTTGATATGATTTGAAGTTTTTTTATTTCATCACGCAAACACTACAACATTATAAACAATGATAAAAAAAACTTTTTTGTCTACTAAGAAGAAATATATTTTTTATATAAATTTTATAATTACATAAAAAGATTGTATAGATTTATAACAATTGTGAGTGAACAGAAATAAAATAAACGAGGTTGCCTTTGAATGGCGGCAGCACAAACAATAGCTAAGTCAAACCCTATAATCAATAGTGACGGAATTTATCGAGAGAGAACATACAAGCTACTTACCTTCGTACGATTACACTTTCAAAATTATGTTTCCTTGTGTTACTAAAGAGAATTGTACGCTCATATAAAATAATACACATAAATAAACTTAGTTAAAGTCATTATCAGTTGTTTTAACTTTCACGCAAAAATTTTAATGATAATTTTAATTATTTTTTGTATGTATGTGCTTCGCATAAAAATTACATATAGTTTCCAAGTTCATTTTTTTTTTTTTTATTACAAACTCTCTTTCTTTAGTGTTTAAATAAAAAAATGAATATTTTTTTTTCTAATTTCACATACATGTGTGTGTTATAATAATCGTATAATGTAAATACTTTATATCATATATTATAGATACACAGTTGTTTTTCTCTTATTTTTAAAATTACACATATAAATAATATAATTTCAAGTTTTTTTTGAATATTCACTTCTATATTATCCATAAAACTTTTCTTCCGCTCTGTGTTTCTATTATTCAACAGGACATTTATTTGATGACATTTATTTAACGCTTTTTAATAGACAATTTCTTGAGTGCTTTAATTGCAAAATTAGTACTGTTATCACCTTCCGATTGATGCTGCTTTTTATTAATTTCATCCTTTGAAAGTTTTGATAATTCTCGAAGTCCAAAAGTAAGAGTATCAACTTCTCGCTTTGATCGTCGAGCTCTCCATGCTCGTCGCATTTCCGCTCTGACTTCGCCGTTTAGCAGACAATAAAGGAAAGCCACAAAAGCACCCTGAAAACAATTCAGCATGAATATAAGTTACGCAAAGGTTTTTAGGTTTGTTTGTCATAACAATTACTTGAAAAGACGCGAACAGTTGATCGCAGAAAAGCCAGACAAGCTCAACTTGGTAATCTTTATGATAAGAAAATCCTAAGAAGAAAGCGTAATGTATTCCGAAAAGTGGTACTAGTACCAGAGTTGATTTCGCCCATCTCCTAAATTGAAGATTAATGATACAAACACAAACAACACATTTAATAACTATACGCTAAAAATATTTTTTTCATTAAATATTTTTTTCTAGAAGTTTTATTACATCACAGACATTTCTTGAATATTAAGAACAAGAAGAAAAGACGCAACTGCTATTCGTATACTAACTTGTATTTCATCTTTTTGCGTTGCAAATGCACCGACGTCTTCAGTTTCATGAACAGAACTCGAACGATGTTGAGGAACAACAAAAAGTTAAACTACGGATAAGAAATGAAACGGAAGAAGTAAATTTAAATTGGGGCGATTCAAATAGAAATTAATGTCATCTCGTGCAATCAACACGTACCAAAATAGACATAATAATTGGTATTCTTATGATAAGAAACAGGGAGGGATTTTCGTGATGAGTCCAGCAGAGAATATTATCGATAGTCGCGCGTGTTATGACCCACGGAACTACTACCAGTACAGGAAGACCTGTTTAATAAAATTGAATTTGAATGAAGCGCGACTCATATATATAATGCAAAGATGCATCTCGGTATTCTCGTCTCACCCCAGCCTAGGAGAATGTACAAAGTTATGGTGCTAGTGTCGGCACATAACGCAAAGAAAACTAGATTGTGAAGATACAACCCTTCCATCAAGATCCACGAGTAGTTCGCCACGATAAAGTATTGCCACAGACTTGTGATAAGCCTGCAGATCCAAGACTGGAACAGTCAATTGAACAATACGCGTTAGACGCAAAAGTGAAGTTAAAACACTAATGAAGATAACACTAATTAATCTGTAAATTTTACATTGCGTTCTCTGATAAAAGTTTTTTTTCCAACGATGACAAGGTCCCAGGCCAATCCGATTCCATCGACGAAGACCCAATCCTTCAGAAGCGCCATGAAAGCCCGCATGATAAAGGACGCAAATAGATGCATGTGCAATCTATTTCTGGGATTCCTTAGTTTTCTACATGATGAGAATTTTGTTAGCGATAGACAACATTGCGAACGTTCGATAGGATTGAAAAAGTGATGATTTTAATTATGTTTACTCAGGTGAAGTAAACACACTCACCTGAGTAAGAAAAAGATTACCATGGAGACGATTAAAGCAGTGAACGATGTGGAATATCCAATTTGCGACACCAACCTGATGATCGGCAACCATTTCTATCGAAAAAGTTTATACAAAATAACAACAAATAAACTATAAATTTTATTTCAAATCTATATAAAATCTATCTATATAATTTTATTGTAAATCTATATTATATGTTTATTCATGTTTGAAGCTCGAAATTAATAATTAATTTATTCATGTTTATGATCGAAATGTGTATGCAAAAAAAATGCAGAAACTCACGTTCAGCACCGAAGACTCTGCGGATGTTTCGTACAATCGCAGGTAATTCGGTTTCTCAGTACTATCGATCATGTAACGCGTACTATTCGGTACGCACAGACTGTAATTGCTCCAGAAAACGCCCTTCGAGTTTCGATACCACTCGCCGTTCGCCAAGCAGACTTTACTGGCATTGGCTATCGCAAATGCTCGCAAATTGTCGTTCGTCAGATCGGTATATCCCATGATTAACGCCGGCGGACAGGGTTGAATGGCTATTCCTGGTGCGTCGGTGCGCGACCAGCAGAGCAAACCATCAAACGAAGGTTGACATTGACGAATTTCGGTATCATTGCCCTCGTTGAAAGAGGCAGTAACGTCGATGTGATCTTTTTCCATCATCTTATTGGTAATATTGTTGAACAAGTTCATCTCAGTTGTTTTTGACATTACATCGTCGAATTTAGACGTACCTAATGTGAGCGACAGCAAATAAAAAGATTGCATACTTAATCCACAAAATATAAATTATTTTCCGAAAAACGTCATGATGACATGTTATAATATAAATATATTATAAAAGCGTTTTATTTTCATAAATGTGCAAAAAGATTTACATACGAACATTTACATGTAACAATGACAAATAAAAAAAAGTTAGATACCACCTTGGAAAATCTGATCATGACATATATTTTTCTGAGCGGCTATAAAGCGGTCCACTTCTACATCGCCCATTCTAACGCTAAAAAAAAAACAACAACAACAAGAATTTGTATTATTTGAACGTTGTTTTTCTTTCTCTTTAGTTGTTTGTCTGTCTTTTCTGCGCTCTCACCTTTAATTTTATCTTATTTCACGGTCACAAGAATTTCGATCGGAAAGAGTTAGCTGAGAAGATCACACGTTTTCTTTAAGATGCGCACCTACGCGAGACACGATCACGAATCATCTGAAACTCCGACGAAGAATCGTCGTGGTAAATCGGGCGGCTGCGCGTTGTGCGTTTACACGTGTATGAGATTTTCCGCTCTCCGACCCTCCTCTTGTGTTGACGCAGATAGAAGAAAACGTGAGCAAGTACGTGCATATATAGACTGAGCAAACTAAGTAGTTACTTATCCAAACCGTAATTATTGCGAGCCACAAATTCGTAATATTTTCACTTGTATTATAAAACAATTATATAAGTTACAATTTTATTTTTAATCACAATTTTTACTTAAGTTATATATTTAATATTATTTATTTTATGAACACACTATGTGTAACTTTTTATTTTAATATTTTTATAGTTTGATGATTGCACAAAACGTCACAATTTTTCATCATCTGCGCAACGGGTCAATTATCTTTATTTGCGCGAATTTCGTTAAGTAGTATTTATCATATATAACATGTTTGTGTAAACAAATCAAAAATCACCTAATACGTATGATCCATCAAAGATTAATTTCCAGAAAACCTTTTCAATCAACTCGTCGTCAATATTTGTCATTACACACAGAGTCGATGGATTTGAACTTCCATAATTGTTATTGTCTGACTTTGACCACAGGCTTCCGTATTATAAGACGACCATGAAAAGTAAACGTAATACCAATAAAAAGCTCATTTTCGCACAAAAACACATATGCAATATCATAATTCTCTGAGATATGTTGTTTGATCGATTGGTGTGTTTTTTAGCTCTGTTCTAATACATTTCCAATCCAAATCTGGACTTAATTAAAAAATGATATTTCAAAACTATAATTGTGCATTGCACACTATTGAAGTGGAATTGACCAAATTTCAACTAATTTATTTTAAAACTATATTTTCTGTCTCTCTACCGTGTATATATTTATTAATTTTCTAATTATTTTTGTTCTCGCCGAAAAGGTTCTTTCTAGAACTTATTGCGTAATATTGAGCATGCATCTTCAACAAGGAAATAGGAAATAGGATAATTTTTGTGAGAAATAAAGAGAATAGCGTCATATATATTCAAAATTCACTTTATGTTAAATTCGTGTAGGAGACACGTCATAACAGAGTATATCTTTCTGGGATCAGTTCAGAAAACCGTCGTTACACGTACATACATACATACATTCACATACACATCATTGTGTCTTATTTACACACGTACGTCGTTGCAGACCGAAGAGAGACGCGTAACATAAGTATATGTAAATATCACCGTCCTAATCACACCGTAAAAGATTCTTCTTCTTTACAAGGTCGTCCATATACATACCGTGTATACCGTTCGAGTGTACTGATGTCTCGGTCAGATTAGGACAAACTTGACACCAGAAATAATCCGGAGGAGTAATCTATGCGCGTAAAAAACTGCAACAACCGGTTTAAATATTCAATATCTCGACTTCAATATTTTCACAACAGTCAATATATTCGCTTTTTAAGACGATAGATGCTGCCATATCAAGTCAGAAGTTTTAAAGATTAGATAAGTTTTAAAAATTATTCGGATATATATTTATTTCAGAGACATTTTTCTCCCGCGTGTTATAAATTTCGAAAATACAATAATGATAACAATCTTTATTGAATTCAAATCAAATAAATATAGTATCCTTACAATTATTACGTATATCTTCTTTTATATACAAACGCGCACCAGGCTTAGCTCCTCTTAACCATCTCAATATCTGTAAGTATCAATAAGTACAGATTTTCATCTTCTCTTCCAGATACAAACATTTCCTTGCCCCCGTTGTCTCTTATGAGCAGTTGCTTATTTCGTCTATCTATTCGCCTAAATATCTATCGCGATATATATATATATATATAAATAATATATATATATAATATCTATTTGTCTATCTATACATATATATTTATTTTATACTAAACGTTGCTCCCTACGTCGTACAAAGTATTTACAAATGTCTCGATAAATCACTCGAGTTTCATTAATGCATAGGCCATGTTGTACTACAGAGAACAAACAGGGGCAAATCCCGTTCGCGATTACGTTATTTACGCCATTATCAATTCTGCGTTGCTGAAACAACGTTGCATACACATCTTGAAATTACTATAATCGGGCGAGCTTTTTGCGTGTGTTATATCAGTCAGATTTTTTCGCGTTTTGACAATAATTAGAGAATTAGCATCATCAGCGGAAGAACCGGCGGAACTTAATGATGCCAAGCATACATACATATTTTGATAATTGTTAAGATAATTTCAAACACAGACAACTCTCTCTCTTTCTCTTTTTATCGACATTTATTAACATCATAACGTCGATTTGCTATGCGCTTCTTGCGCGCGTTCTTTGTTACTTTCATTATTATTATTATTATTCTGTAACTTATAACGACAATTTTGTTAACGTATCGTTAACGTAATCGTTACGCAACTATTTTTGGATACATTTCGTCTGCGCTAAGTTTTGTAATAACGCTATGTCTGAAACGCATGCGCGCTAAAGATTACAGAATAGGCCCGAACATTAACATCACTTACTTAAAATAAAAAGTTTAATTATGTGCTAAAACAGTTGCCAAATAGATACTCGACGCGAGCTCGTGTAGTGTTCCAGCAAAGAAATTTTAAATTAACATATTTGTATAAGAGCGTTCACACAGAAATGCCCTTGTTTTGTGAAATCAGAAAAATAACGTAGCAGCTAGTCTCTTACGCGTTGCCAAAGTGCGTGAAGCATTAATGCGCCTTTTCGTTATCTTAGATACATAATTCTTTCTCTAGTCCACAGATACATAGTAAAAAGTAGGTATTATGTAGAAGAATAAAGAATATAAGACACACACAAAAAATATAAGATATTTGTATTTCAACACAAATCTCAAATACGAATCTCAAACACGAATCTCGAAATCTCAAAGTTAAGAACAGCTAGGTGATTTTACGATATATTCAGAGTGGAATTGTCACCGAGATAAAAAAAAGAATTCAAATTACTACAATTATATTTTAATCGATATGATCGCTATTACAAGCAATCGTGCCTAATTGCTTTACGTAATTACGTTGTTTAAAATTGTCTATTACGTTAGAATTGTAATTGTGTTTATATAAATTTCATTCCGCATCTTTCTGACGTACATTAATTTCGTTGCAGTAATTCACAAACATCATTATTTATTTTTTACATCAACTATATTTCAAACATCATATCATTTTTCCGCAACGTCAAACTCACTCTCGAAATAATGATAATTTTATTTTAAAAAATGACAGGTGAATTAAACAACGATCTGTGACGCAATTTTTTTTTTTTTTTTTTTCAATTAATACATGACTCATGCTAGAGATATCCCTGAATTAGAGAAACATTTTACTGAGATAATGTTTATATTTTCTTTCAAAATTTACGTTATTATTTAATTCTCGTTAAGTAAAGCGCTTATAAAACTAAGCACGGCTTCAAATCTCTTTTTATAAGAGAGATATCCTTATTCAACATTATCAACCATTTTTTTTTTTTACATTACTTTAACAAGTATCTGTTTAAGAAACTTACTTGTTGTCGCCCGCATAATCTCGTAGCTTCGTCATGTCTGCATATGTTAAGAAACGCAGAGAGAGCGTAAAGAGAATAGCCTTGTCTTTGCTACATTGACAGTTTTGCGAAGGAAAGAATTGTCGGATAATTTATCGAGGAACGATTGTCAGTTCTGTTGGCAGGACATCCGTTAGTCGAAAACACCCACGACTCACGAATACGCGATGTAACTGCGCGCCGGATAATTCCGACTATCGACAGAGTTTGCGGCACGCGTCGCCGCTTTTTATATCGCCCCGTCGTTCTGCGATAATCAACTCCAAAAGTACAGCGTTTGTAGAACGTCTGGTCGATAGTTCGCGGATCTTTGACGATCGGTCAGAGACATTTACCGGGATTCTGAGAACACCACTGCGGCCACATAGACTCCGTCTTAATGCCTCTGCTATTTAAGACCTCGAGATGCGTGGCCAGTCTGGTGTAAACATTCTCGTCCGTAGAAAAACTGTTCGTTGGTAAATCGCTCCTGAAAAAATGTATTTCCGTGAAAAATCTTTTTTAAAAAAATACACTTGTTGAATTTGCGTTATACTGCGTTATGTTACCATAATCGTTCAGCAAACGCTGATGCCCTGGGCCATAGTCGAGGTCCCAAGGATGATTGGCCGGTCTGTTCGTTCCAGATCGCCGCCTCGCCGCCAAGTACCAACGGTAAGTGCTGCGGCGGATAATCCTTCCATGGACGGTGATTGTAGACAGTCTGCCAAGTGCGGTACTCACCACACGCGGCCTCGCCACTTTCTCGCCACCTACCGAAACCACAATCCAGGTACCAAGCGTCCACGTGTGACAGAATTACGCGAAATCCGTCTTCCAATAGATCCGGCGTTTCCGGCCAGTTGCTGCCGCCCCAGGATTGAATAACATGAATCTTCGGGTCAAAGTACAGCATGATGTACGGCCTCTTGGTCAGCGGTGAGCTCCACAGAATCACCGCTTTCGGTATTTTATCATGATTCGCCCTGATTAGTCGCTGCAGCATTTTTGTTTCAAACTCTGCCCAAAGCACGTGATGATCTGTCATATTCTGTGCCTGCATGGCTAAAGTGATGTTGCCGTACTGCGCCCAGCATTCGAGGTTCACTTCATCGCCACCGAGATGTACCACGTCACGTACTTCAGTCAGATCCAACAATTCTCGATACAGGCCTTCGAGTATTCGATACGAGTGTTCGTTTATGGGATTCAGCTGGCCGCAGTTCGGTTCACCGCAATACGATGACCACGGCTGCTGATCCACGCACAACGCCAGTTCGCCGAAACCGTGTTCCGCGCCTGATATTACGAGCAGGAAAAACGTATCAAGTGAGACTATACGTATCTATTATTTATTAGAATTTAAGAGACTTTCCGCTAAACCTACTCACCCCACTGCCATCCGGCACCGGCATGAGCCGGAGAATCGATCTCGACGACGATTCTGACGCCGCGTATTCTCGCGTATTCGGCCAGGTCTTTCACGTCGTCAGGTGTATAAATATGATCGCCGCTGTAAGCACCCCATCTTGCCATTTCCGGGAACTGCGCCGAGTCAAAGGGAAAGCTCTGGGAGTCAGTGAGATGCCAGTGAAAAGTATTGAGCTTTGTAGCTGCCATACCGTCAATTACTCTCTTCAGTTCCTCGATCGGGAAGAACTGTCTGCCGGTATCGACGAGCAAACCGCGATAAGAGAACGCAGGCTTATCCTCGATGGAAACTCGCGTGAGAATGCGAAGTGCACCTTGTTTACCAGCAGCCTCGTCCCACCAGATCAACTGACTGAGTGTCTCAAGACCATGACGCACTCCGAAATAATTCTTTCCCGTGATCCTGGCTTCCAAAGTCTTTCCCTTCATCACGAGCTCCAGTTTGTACGACTCATCGGTGTCCAAGGTCAAGGTGGCACCTCGCGCATTTCCGGCGCTTAGATATACGACGAACGTGTCGATCCCCGATCGACTCTTGGCGTTCAACACTTTGATCAAACTCCTGATATTTCCTGCAATATGACAAATGTGTCATAAAAGAGAAAGCGTTCGAAAATTCAGCAAATGCGATGACAAACCGGAGATTCCAAAATATTCTATTCCCTCTTCTCACTTCTCTCAGTACTCACCGATGAAGATATCCTTCGCGTGTTCCAGCAGATCTTTCGTCTCCTGGTCGCTCGTGTTGACGGTAACGAATTCGATCTGCTGAAGATGCAGAACGACGCTTTCATCGCCAAGGACAACGTTCTCGGTCGGCCTGGGCCATAGCAGACGAGTGTCTCCGCCGCAGTGCGCGGTGCAAGTCGCCAGTGATGTTCTCGAGGATCTCACTGCTCGTCTCTCGCATCGATTTGCGACACATGCCCAAGACCACGGACTTTGAAATGTTCTGTGCAATTCGTAAAAAATCTCTCGTAACTTCGCAACTCGCACGAAACTCGCGCTTTCATCATTCATTTTGCACATACGCGACAGTTCGGAACATTTATTTTACATTCGATGCAGGAAAGGTTAAGACCAAAAGAGAGAGGCACGTTAAAAAAAAAAAAAAAAAAATGTATCATGCACTAGCGCCATAAATCTCAGAGCGGTTTTTTCATATTCAAATATTCTCTGCATTTGGTTTTTTATTTCTCCATACTTGTAGCCAAAAATAAAAGCAAACCGTTTTCGAGAATAAGGCCGCCGGGAAAGTCGGGTTCGCGAAGCGAGGATCAGGACAAATGCAACACGACGCGGACGGGCATAATCCGCGGAATACGGGAAAACACAATGGTGCGCAACAATAGCGGAGACGCGGGTGTGCATTTAGCATGACGGACCTGTTCGAGCGAATGGATTAAACGAGCGAATGTGTGCCAGAATGAGGTGTGACGTATGTGTGTTTGTGTGTGTGTGTGTGTGTTGCGAGAGAAGACGAGATGAGCGAGCACGATGACAGAGAAACAGACGAGAGTTTCCGTGGAAATTCGAGGTATTTAGGAATTCGTTCACGATTGACGTATTACGCCGGTTCATGCGCTCCCTGATAGCTTCTTAATTGGGATATTGACACGAGACACATGGTACATGTACGTGTGTAATTCCAATTCTTCCCGAAAAGGAAAAAGGAAAATTGCCAGAGTATACCGCACAAGCGCAATATCATAATGGAATATCCAAGTTATAGAAAGTTATGAAGGAAGAAACTTGTTCGAAAGAAGTGTGAAACAACGAAGAATACTTTTTTTTTTGTCCGTGAATTCTGAAACTGGACTGTTGAAAGAAAAGGTGCAAAAAACCGATGGGAGCGAAAGCGGATTTCAGCTGAAGGCATCAAAAAGTACGGGACACAAAGTTCGTCCATAGCATTAAAGATTTCATTCCCCCATCGGGAGAGGGGGGGAAGAGAGGAGGGAGCTGTGTCCTTTACCTAGGCTCTTCCGGATACTCGTAGAGCCGTTCCTCCGGTCCGATTGTGGTTTCATTACCCACCAGGTAATTAACCAAGCCGTGCTGCAAGTCCTGAAGTCTTCTTCGATATTGTTGGTTGCGATGCGCGCGAGAATGCGAAATAAATTCAAAATAAAAAAACAAACATGCAGCAGTGAGAAAAAAATAATTAAAAGGCAGTTGGCATTAATAACACAATCGCGCGAACAGCGCCGAAAAACTAGCGCTGGCTGTGTTAAACAAGAAATCATAGACACGTAAAGATCGGAATTGAGAAACCAAGTCAAGTCTCGCGCACGAACTTCATTTCAAAAATTCGAAATAGTCTCCGGTTTCTCTTACAAAACGATATATATATATACATATATATAATTTTTTTCACATAAAAAAAAGTATTACTTTAAAATATAAAATAAAATGTTAAAATAGCGATATATGTGTGTCTATACAAACTCGCTAAATTTTTTTCTTATATATATATATGTGCACGAGCAGCGATAAACCTAACGGTTTTAATTTTGTTTTTTTTACAAAAGATTCGCTCGACAGTAACGGCAATCACGATGTTTTTCATTCGTCGAAACCGCCGTTCGTTTGAATGGGAACAAATGATACATTGCCATTAGTCACTGAAAATTACTTACCGACGCGTCGCAAACGGCTGCAGCGATGCGAGCGGCGGCGCATGGGCGTACATGGCGATCAACAGGACTCCGGTCATCAGGACAAGGAAGAGGAGGAACCTCCTCATCCATCCGCTGGGCATGCTACCCACCATCCTGGCGAGTCTGTAAACAAGCGAGACGGAAATTTTGCGAATTATATCGCGATCGTGGAAAAAGAAAAACAAGAATCGCGTGATCGAGGCCGATCGACGCGAGTGTCTCGCTTCGACATCGCAAATCCAGACTGACGACGATATCGTTCATGTCGAGATCTTTTATCTCTTCGGCGCGCAATCGGATTTCCATAAAACAACGAGCGAGATTTGCGATAGAACTAGTATGTTTCCGCGTGCATTATATGTTTGTCCCATTTTTCATTCGCATATAGTGTTGTTTTACTTTTCTTATCTTGCGTTTTGCAGATTTTCTCCTTTTCAACGAGAGACGCGAGAAGATAACGCGGTCGCATTTACTGCTAAATGCACAACAAGGATTTTGGGTTGCGCGATTCTCACCGCGGAATCTTCCCCCCCGGTGATGGCGACACGCGAGAGATAAGGCGTGATTTACGTGGAAAGCGTGTCTGCATAAAGGCAACGTATATATCTCGAGATTAGAGAGCAGACGGCCGAAAGGAAACGTTTCCCGCGTATTTCCGGCGATTCTCCCCGACGACAACGCGGGAGAACCGCCGTTGTTCTTTTTTTCTTTCTTTTTTTTTTTCTTTTTTTTTTTTTCATCAAACCGACAGAATAGAAATGACGATGGGGAAAGTGTTTCGGACGCGTAAATGCATGCGCGTTAAAGCACTTGTGTCTTTCCTCGCTTTATGATACCACGAGAATTTATAGACCACCGTCGAGGCGTCTCTCTCTCTCGTCTTTTCAATATTATAACTCCACCGGAAAAACCGTACAAATCCTCATACCTCGCGATCTGATCTGTCGAGATATATTTGACGTTGCAGCTGAGTTTATCGAATATAAATACAGCGAGAGGAAATTCACGCGGACGTGAAACATCTCTCGCATTTCCAGCGACATGACGGAGTTATCTTTCAGATATCGCTAGCACAAACTCCTGCGCCATAAAAAATCTTTTTTTTTTAATTACACAAATTCAACGTAATTTAATTAAAGAGAACGAATAAGGATATTTTTTACAATATACGAGACGTAATCAACTTAACCAACCATCCGATATAGATTTTTCGAGACGCAATCTCGATGTTATTTTCGAACTAAAAGTTAATTCAAAAATTAATGCGCGCGCGTTAATTTGCGTTTTAAAAATATTTCGCACGTAACACATCCAGAACGCTCGGCTCTTTAAAATTTGTATTTGTTTCTTTTACTTGGAGACGGTAAATGTATTTGTTTATTTTTATCTCTTAAAGATATATAATTAAAAACAATAAATAAATAAAAAACTTAAAGAGATATTCGAGTATTAGTAGAGTTTCTTGGATATGACCGAGTGTTTATCTTCACTTCGTGAAGTGGAGCAGCGCCGGCGAGTGTTGCTACTTATCGCGGTGAGTAGCAGTGTCTAAGGGCCACCTGTCGAATTACACAGAAATATACGTCGCCTAGGCGAGATCTAAGCTTAGCTCGCGCGGATCTCAAAATGTTCCGCGGTCTAGACAGTCTCATGTTGTGATTGCTACACACAGACACGACACTTGGCAGCTGCGACACTCAGCTCCGGGAATAGGTACCTTTAGGTTTCGATTCCAAACACCGTCTGAAATGAGTCATATTTTCCCATGATAATTTATTGCCCTGTAATTGTTATTCTCACCGTCCCAAGCGTGACAATTATTATTACAAGAACAACACACAACCGATATATCGGCCGGGGCTGTAGCATTTTTGTGTGCCGTTGTTTTTTTTTTTTTTTTTTTTTTATTTCTCATGCATACCTGACGTGTTTTGCATTTAGACAGCTCTTAATGATATTCATGCACGAAGCCAAGGCGGTTGAGTAAAATAGCGCAACCCGAAATAAAAAATCGATCACAAGTAGTCGCAAACTATTCGATAAATTTGTATTGTTCATCAAAAAAAGTAATATGTGTATTTTTTTGCTAATAAAAATTATCTCCTATAATTGTGTATGTACGTATATATATATATATTCGCTTTGTGAAATGACACAAATTGTGTTTCAAGTTTTCACCTCGCCGATCCGGTGTGTAAGCAATAAAACACTAATGAAAAATAATAGCTGCACTAATGAAGAATACTTTTAAATTTGCTTTAATTAGATTTCGTATCTCTCTCATAGGCACTTTCTAAAAAGCAAAACTCGATCGACAATCCAAGAGATTCAAAACGATGCAGGCGAGTGTTGTCTGCGTATCACTAGTCCATTATATCAATCAATCTTCCACTTTTTTCGTACAAAATCATTTGCTTTCCATATTCGATATTGAAATGGCCAAACAATTTGGCGAATATATCATTCGAACTTCGCACAACACACTTTGCTCAGATGAAATACTATACCGTCGTGATACCTATGTGGTGACATTAGTCCGCGACGAAGACAACCGGCAATCCAACACAATGTACCGCACCACACCAAATCAAACCAAACCAAAGTAAACCACGTTGCGCGCAGACCGCTCTGGCCAAAATTCACCCTCGTGCGATTAGGGAAACGGGTGGTTTCACGTTACCCGCAACCGCCTCGCGCCCGGCACAGACGTGGTATATCGAGGCCGTTCTTTCTGACGGCGAGCACGACAAGGAGGGTAGCGACGAAGAGGGTTCGTGACGAAGAAAGAGACGCGACGGCGGGAGGGTGATGGGTCGTGTGAGAGGGTGGCCGAGAAAACGTGACGCAACGGACTAGGAGCGGACGACGAGGAATCGACGACGATGGTGGGAGCGACAGCGGTCGCGGCGGCGTCGTTCGTGTGTCTCCAGCACCGCGCCAACTATACCTAAATGCCGTGTCTGGGCGCGAGTCGCGTGGCGTAGCCAAGCAACGCGCGTGCCATAAACGCCGCCGTTACCGCGGATAGTCTCCAACGAAACGGTACTAAGGACGGACACAGGGGTGATACCACGAGGCGATGGACGCCGAGCGAGACTGTCGTCGACGTCGCCTCCCCGTGCGCGCGGTCGACGTCGCGCGCTAGGTCGCGGCGTCGCGCCGTTGTCGCCCGAGTGCTCTGGTCAATCGTACAAACTGACCGCGGACGAGCAGCAAGAGCGAAACGAAGAGGCCGACACCAGGCCTCCAGGGATTTTCATCGATCGTCAGAAGAAAACGGTATCGCAGGTGTTTGGCAAGCGAAGCGATCGACCAAGCCAAGCGGGCTCTGTTGCACCATTCGAGAAAAAGGTCGGTTTCATTAAGCGAATTGACACTTGATCAATTTGTGGCAAACAGGTATTAGGTGACGTTAAAGAGTGCTACGTAGCTGTTCACTAGCTTTTTCAATCTCCCAAGCGTTTGGAAAAAAAAAACTAGGAGACATTTTTTTTGTCGCATTGCATTCTGTAATTACCGAAATATTTTCTTTGAAATGATTGAGTTGAAAAAAAATATGGCATACATATGTACAAATATTGTAATAAAAATAACGAAATGATTAATTACTTTAGCAATTAATATAAATTGCATACACAAATATAGAAAAATAATATAAGAATTTTTGTAAGAAAAGAAATTAGAGAAATTAGAAACTAAGTTCTCGTATCAAAAGGCATAGGATTAGATAACGCTATTGGAACATACTCAGCCAAGTTAGCAGTTATCTTACTTTATCGTCACGCTAAATATTTCCACGTGCTAATTAATAAAGGTCACATTTTGCATGCTTACCGCATCACCGCTATTAATACCTAGAAACAACGGGACGTAGCGTAAGAAAATACCTTTCACCTAATTGAATTATACATAATCTCCTCGATCGAACATAAATAATGTCTCGAAAAGACGCATCCCATGTACCTTGATCCACATGCAAACCGATAAGCAACCCGCCAGCAACCAAGATTGATAGTAACAATTGATACTCGGGGAAACCTCATTAAAAAGGAAACTTCTCTCACACGAAGGTTTGCGTTTCGCGAATGGCCTCTGTTTCCAATATTAATCCCGGGATAAACGGGCAAAATATATCCGCGAAGTGTATAATACCTTGCCGTCCTTGCCATGTTTAACAATAAGTGTGCCACGAACAGCCGCGAGAAACATTCATGCATCCACTACCGTGAGCGTGACATCGCACGAAAGTGTTCATCCGCACTTACAGTATTATACGCGACCCGCCGTATCTCCGCTTTCAAGGATTCTAAATTATTCTTCGTGTTACAAACGCATCGCGTTCGCGACGATGTCATCCGGTAAAATCGCCACAATCATTAGATTATAAAATGATACGCCGCCGCACGTCCCTCGACGTTCCGCGAGTCATCGGGATCATCATTCAAAAATCGCATTAAATATCGTGACGCTCGTAATCGGTACAACTATAATAATTTCTGCTTTTCGCACTGTAGAAAGTAGTTGTTCGTTCGCAGTTGTTGGTGCGCGCGCGGCGACGTTCGATGTACACTACGTCGTGAACGGAGATTACAACTGATATGCAAAACTTCTCTCTCGTACATTATTACGACGAAAAAAAATATTGGTGATTTTTAATTATCAGCGAATACATCGCAATGAACGACGAATTGTTGCGGCTATCTCGAATCGGAAGATAACAATATCGCGTCACTTTCTGTCATCACGTTATCGCGAATTTTTTCAGCGATCGAAGAGCACCAATAAACGTAGCCGCCATATGTGAGAAATACGTGCGCGACTACTCTGAGCTCGATTATGGTTAATTTTTGTAGCAGAAGAAATAAACACAAAAAAAAAACAAAACATTCGATCTAATTTATTAAAGATTGCAAATTCTTCTAGAAAATAAATACGAGAGCAATAATTTCAACGTGATTCGCTCGTTGCATTTCAGCTTTGACCGTTGCGGGATGCATTTTACTGACGATTTTTTGTCTCGGATCGGGCGATATTCATTCCAAGTTCTCTCGACTGTTACCGCTATTGTTTAGAAACCTTTTTCGCTCGCTGAGTTTTACGAGGAGGAAATTTCTCGGTGTTTTTTCCTTCCGTGGATCGACGCGGTCGAGTCGCGAGCATCGCGTCGACGCGTTCGATACAAAATGAGACAAAGGTCGACGTGGTTTTGCGTGGCCGAGAGAGCGAAACCCACCCATCTCCACCCGCTACACGGTGAAGGCACCCACGTGGCTATATATAGAGCCACATAAGCCATATATGGCAAACAACGTGTGCCTACTACGCGTCCTACTAGTCGATACACGCGCAATCACGCAGAACGCTCGACGTCGAGAGTTCCCATCGGCTTCACCTAAAATCGCGATTTCGCTGTTACATAACAGCTTTTGAAACTCGGAAGGCTTTGTCTTTTTTTTCTTTCTTTTTTTTTTTTTTTTTTAATTAAAACTTCCTTTTGAAAAAGATGTCGAGTGAAAAAAAAACGCGGTGTAAACACAAGTGATCATTACAGTGATAATGTATCGCTGATTAGATTTTATCTCATGATTTTCGAAATACAAAGATTTAACTTTTTTTCGATTAATCGCTTCAATTAAAGGCGCCAAAATCGACGAGTCATCACGTCGGTTAATATACTTCCGATGCGCGTTCGATCGAATACGGGTTGAATCGCTCCCGAAGCGATTAATAACGTCACTTCGGTAAGTCGAGCAATATAATCGGTCGATTAGCCGAATTGACGTCATTAATCGCTCTCGTACCGATTCAACCGGTACCGATCGAAAACGTTATTACATATTGCATCGGAAGCGACGTGAAGTAGATTGGGTTTGATATTTGCGCATAAAAAAATTGTGAATTCCGCGCGAATAGCGTAAAGTTCGTCAAAATTGATCGCGCAATTCAAGGTAAGAAGCGACTCTATATCGCGTTCCGTTGTCGAGATTATTCGCTTGATTATTTTGCTAATTAAATACGTCGGGTGTTAAGGAAGCTAAAGTTATGCACGAACATGCGAGTTAACTAGACGCGCATAATTTTCGTTATGTATAATGACAGAGAAACTAGTTAAAGCACCGCGGCGATATGACAACTCTAATTAGCAAACTGCAGACAATTGTGTGAATACATGCTTTCCTGCAGTTATCTGTAGTTTATTTATAAAGACTGTATCTTAAGAAACTTTGAAGAATCAATAGAGATTTCAAAATTATCAGCAATTTTTCTACAGATAAACTTGAAACGATAGAAAAGGAGGGAGAGAAAAGGAGTGAGAGCAAGAGCACCTCGCCTTAATTTTATCTCTTTAGATAAATGTATATATCAGAGAAGTACGCTTACATCGAAAAGAAACTTTCAAGACGTTCCATTCTCAACGAAGTCTAATTGCCATAAAATCGAGGGAATTAACGGGATCCTCTCAAGTCGAGAAAGGACAATTCCGGGAGCTCGAACTTCTCGACGCAAAACCAATAGTTACGACGGCAGTCACACTTAACCCATTCTGCAACGAGTTTCCTTTTCGTGAAACGTGTTTTTACGAGCTTTTAAGAAATTTATAGAACTGCACACTTTCAAGAGAGAAGCGCAATTTTATGGCCAACAGTTCTTACCTAAATCCTGGTTTTACCAGAAAAAAAAAAGCAGTCTTTTACATATCGCAGTAATTAAATAGTTCTTTACCGTATAAAAAATATCTTAGCATTTTTTAATATTTGCGGATTTAATTTAATTTGAAAAATTAAATATTCAAATAAATATATTTCAGTAATTTTTCTATCTAAAAATTATACAATGTGCTAATTAAAAATTGTAGAAGCAATTAAAGCGATTAAAGTGTTGATATATCTTGGAAAACTTAGTCTGTCGTATAATGGAAAGTAATTAATTATCACTAGCAAACGCGCTTGCGTGTGCTTTTGCGTTATTATCATCCCTATAACGTAAATAAAGGAAATTTAGGTGACGCTATTATGTACGTAATACCTGACATGTGTCCCAGATATTTAAGCCGACATCGATCTGCCAACCAAGTGTAGTATATACCAGCGTGTCGCAAAAGTGTGGGATGGAACGTTGGTGGTAACTTTCACATTTTATGAAGTTGTCCTCGCGAATAAAACGAACAATCAACATGTGGAGTGATGTAAAAACACGAAATCCCGTAAACATCGAAATTTGAGAAAATTCGAGAAAATTTCGGAAATCGACGAAGACTTGCAATTGATCAAGTATTGACATAAACTCGCGCGAAGGAATATTCCGGTGAATAATTCGCGAGTTTTGCCGACCTTCGGAGAAGTTATGCGAAAGTAGAGACAGACAGACACACACACACACACACACATGGTGTTTACGCGATTAAAACTTCAGTCCGGTTTAATGTTAAATGTCGCTGGGTCATTAACAAGGAGAAACAGCTTGTATAAGATACGAGTGGGCTTCATTTAGAACGGGACTACTTCGTCACGGTGGTCGGTGTCACATTGGCGTTACGTCGTTTATGTGGAAAGATACAAAACACGCGTGAAGAAAATCGCGTGGTTAATTAAGGACAATATTTTCTGTCAATATATAACACGTAACGAGTCTTAAGTGCGACCGATAGGTTCTGCAAGCAGACGATGTGACTAATAAGTTTTGCAAAGTTTTGCTGAGCTTTGTGCGGTCGAGGTGAACGCGAACTACCGGTTTACCGGTTTAGTTTTATTGCCTCTTTGTAAAACCACGCGAAACGTACATAATATAACGTAGAACGAATATTAACGGAGAGAACGAGACGAGATCGAGTTCTCTCGAATAAATAAAACACATCGAGACAATCTGTTTCATTGTTGAATCCAACAAGAACGCGCGAAGAACAACGGCTCAACTCGAAGAAGTGGATCAGAGGCACGGATGCGTTACGAATGTTCCATGATTAATACGATATCCCGGTAGGTATACGTCCGATATATTCTTCTAGGAAGCAACAACCTCAGATAGTCTTAGCACCTCGCAACCTTTTTGCCGCACGATTAATGGCACGTAATGATACGTCACAATATCTTCGAGCGATATTCACTGTCTCTTCGATTTATCTACTGCAATTACGCATGTGTCAAAAACAACAACAAGACACATTTCTCGAGAAAAGATAAATATATCGATTGTACGAAGAATAATTTAAAAAAGTTAACGACCCGAATCATTTGAGCTCATTATCACATGTCGTCGTAACACAAAAATTCAAACGCGATAATTTTCGCAATCCCTGTGGTGAAAAATTGTCGACAATTTTGATTACTTACAACAAAGTTTGGAAAATATAATGCGATATCTTATCGGCAATTGCATGCGTGTGACGACGAGGCGCAGTATAGCTATATATCGTAAAAATATTATCGTTGTCTTGCTCAAGACTATAACCGATGTAAACCAAGGTCGATTAGCAGACAAGTCCGACTGACGCGTTCGAATGTTGCACATACTGTGCTTGAAAAATAAAATAGTACGTAAAACGAATTGAAATTTCAAAAATGTAGCATATTTACATAAATAAAACGTATATAAAATTTATTACGTATTTTGAAATGAACACTGTTACGAGATACGTGTAGCTGCGAAAGATTTAAATAACGTTAACATCAAGTAGAATATAGCGTGGCGTCGTGACCTCCCGAGATAATCAAGCAGGTGCATGGGTGGCTGATTAGGTTAAATGTTACGACCGGATAGTCGGCAACTCTTCGAAATTCGAATAAGGCGGAAGATAGGTCGCCATAACGGTTGATTAGGTCGATATGTGGGACAATATTAAGCTATTATTAGGTATAATTGGCGCTGTTAAAAATTAACCCTTTGAAATATCAATTAGCTTCTCTTTCTCTCTCTTGCGCGCGCGCGCCTCAGGCAAAACTAGCGCGATCACACGCAAATTTTCCTCTCGATTAAGCGAATCTATTACGCGTACTGAAAAGTTAATGCGATTGCATAAGCAATTACTTTCAATCATAATTTTATAATGCAGATAAAAATATATAATTAAAAATAGAGTAGTGAATATTATTTAAAGTAGTGAGTATTATTAAGTGATTCTTTACAAAAATCAATGAGCAAATGACAATGTTAGTATTGTTTAAATTATCAAGATAAATTAAAGATATTCGATATTCTCAAAATGTACGAAGAATAAAAAAGACAATTCAGAATCGAATAATTATGTAATAAATCTAAAAAACAATATCGTGCATGTACTTTTAACAATAAAAATTTGTAAACTTCTAATGTTGCAACATATCTAAATACAATATCATATATCTTTGTCATATTCCCGAGGAACTTTGTTCATCTACAATTTTCTATGAGATAGACTTACCTGCAATTCAGGCGGTCTCGCGAACTTCCTCATCTAACGTCTTTCATTTGCGCGAATCTGAAACAGACGACATACATTACCATTGTAGAGTTCTCGAACGACAAAGTTTCAAACGAATAATCTCGTTTCACGAATATGTGATGCACGTGTTTTCACGTGCGGCTTCATGCGCGCGCTCTATTTTCAGTATCGATTCTCCGTCGAGAATTGCTTAAAATTCAGCACGAACTAGCAATGATTCGACGAGTTTGTACTGTTTTATCCATAGCAATGGCCAAAGACATAAGTTATCGATTAGTTCGTATAAAGTATGTAAAGAGATTACCCACAACCCATGTCATCAACAATGTAAGTTGTTTGTTATCGACTAAAACACGCTACGTATATATAAAAAAAAAAAAAAAAAATTAGAGTCTGTAATTTTTCTGACAATTGTTTTATTTCATTCGCTCACAAGCGTTCAATCAAACGGCCAACTTGCCGCGACTCTGAGTCTAAGTTGCGCGCTACAAATATTTTATGAAAACATCATTTCATTTATGTTTACATTTTATAAAAAATAAATATACGATAAACCTTTGTTCCCACACTATATGTCAAAAATATAAGGCCATGTAGAATCCTGGGACGAGTCCTACTCGCATTCTGATGTATGTGGACGCGAGAATAGAGCAATTAGTTGTATTGTGGACGCGATCGATCAGACGTGCGACGATTCGAGAGAATCTAATATTATAAATAAACGTTCACACTTGTTAGTGTAAGAGTTACATTTTTTCGTTTTCTGTTCTAAGTTCTCGTATACAATAGTTTCGTGTATTATCGCGGCCGGTTGTAACTTTATTAAATGTGTCAGGCACAAAAATGTGGATACCGCTAAGAACAAAGAAGAAAAAGGAGTAAAAGACGGTGTCGCGGACTAAAGCAAAGTAGGATAAAGGTGCGGTTGCAAGTTTTCCAGCCAGCCGTCTCATATCGCCTCTCTCAAATACGTAAAAAAATACGCCAAGCATCGCCGCTTGTTGTTTCGAGAGAAAAGAAGAAAAAACAAAATGAGAGGATCGACGCATTTACCGACTTACGAAGAAGCTTTGCGCTTTATGGGATACGTTAGGAAGCCAGCAAGTTTTTTAAGTTCATCGTTATAACTTGGGCTTTATTGATGTTCGATCACAACTTAAATTAACTCCTAAGCACACGGAGTTTCATCTTCAAAACTTCATTTCGAATCTCAAAATTTTCATTTATAACGTCGTTTCCGTACGTAAAACATGTTCAATCTCGTTTCTTCACGTCGCTCTCATTTAATGCGCATGCTCATCGTAAAAATATCCTTCGTGTGACTCAATAAAAATTAACGCACCAAGGTCGGTGTTCATAGTCGGATCTTGTATTTAAGATCCGTCTTAAGTTTATCTTCAGATCATGTGCGAATAATTTTATTGGTCGCAGAGCATCCGAAGATAAACTTAATACAATCTTAAATATAAGATTCGACTATGAATACCGGCCCAAGAGTGGATTATTCTTCAGATTAATTATATCGTAGCGCGTGGCTCGAAATTGATATATCGATTGCCGTCTCGTGAACGGATGAATTCTCGAGCAAATATAAACTCGATGACACATCCAATAGGCAATATTTATTGTTTTAATCCCATCGATGAGCAAATACAAACAGCGTGAAACTCGCCCGATACACAATTCGCACAAGCTATTTTATCAATTTTGAAGATACGTTTCTGTTGGACACAGAAAAAACTCGTTAGCACGTCTCCTGTCGCGAATTTTGTGTTTCAATCAACGATTTAAAAATTTCTCACAAAAAAAACAAAAAAACAAAAATTCTTTTGTTTTGTAGACGAAAAATAATCGAATAATCGTTCTTTTTGCAACAAAAAAAATGAGAAGTTTCACACTTATCGTTCTATTTATAGATCGGGACGAGACGAAGTTCCGACGACGAAGGAAGCTGGTCGAAATTTGGAGGAAGGATGACGCGCGCGTCTCACGCGCGAGTAAACCCGCCAAGAAGGATCCATAAAGTCGAACGGTCGCGGAGTAGTCTCGGCCACACGTGAGTACAATGAGAAATTCAATTTGGGACGTTGAAATTCCGCGTGAATCGCGTCGTCGCGTCGCGCGCGCGACTCGACTTCATAAAGAGATGCGCGCGCGAGAAAGAGAAAGAATAAGAGAAAGAGAGAGAGAGAGAGAGAGAAAGAGAGACGCGTGCGCGCGCGGAAATCGCGTTGTCGCGACGGCCGAATCAACAGCTTTTATCAGCTGTGTAACGGAAGTACGACACACAAAAGTATCTCTTTAACGGTAAGCGTGCCGCTAAACGGAGCTAACAATACGAACCATTAGCTCGCGAGGAACATATCCACCGAATTGAAATAATCTGAATTTGAATTTATTTATACGTATATAGCTCATGCTTCTTGAACGAAGAGAGCGGCGTGGATCCAGCGAGCTTTTCCGACGAGAGGCGTATCCGGAAGCGATAGATACCTTTACGAGACGATCGACGCCGATCTTTCCCCGAAGCGACGTGGATCAGAATTACGCTCGTCTCGATCCTCGCGCGATAACGATCGGCGGCAGCACGCGCGCGTTGCGCATTATCATCGTCTCGATCGCGATCCGCGAGATTTTCTCCGGGCGAGCTTATTAACGGAGCAATCGAAGGAGAATTGCGGTTCCGGGAGAGATAAAGAGAATTAACGAGGAAAGAGGAAAATAGAAGAATAATTAACTTCACCGGGGCACTAATTAGCCGCGTTACAAGCCGTGTTCCAATGTTATTTGCGAGGAGCGGGAAGAGACGCGATCAAAGGAGCGACATCGGATTGGCGGAACGACGATAAAAACGGGATAATGCAGAAGACAGCGATGAGGACTGCGGTGGCCTACAGCCTTCGCAACAGCAGCAATAATAATAATGTTTACGGGGATGCGAACAACGCCCTGCCGGAATACGACAGCTCGTCGTCGACCAGTAGGAGCGGTTTCGACGCGGATCTTCGACACGGCAACGTTAACGTCCTTCTCGGATGGTGAGTAACAACCGCGCCGCCCGGATATTATTATGCTAATAGCACGGAATAAAAGCTTAGATGAGATATACATATTTCGCATAACGGACATACTCGATCTAATCAAGAACGAGGTCCGCGAAGAGAGTGGCATTTTTATTGTATATATGTATATACGTATGTATATATCTTACAAACGCACAATCGAGGAGTCTTCCACAAACCGCGCGCGGTCTTTTATCTTTATTAAATAAAACTGAGATAATTCTCTTCCCGTTATATCTACACAGTTTGCGAAGCTTGCTAATGACGTTTCAAGAAGCGAAGATCGAGTTAATGACAGTCAAGAATATACTTCTATTATCATTTCTATATAGTCACAGAAGTACAAAAGTAATTAAACACCGTTATTAAATCAACGTGCAAATTTGTGTGCCTCAATTTGATTCGAGATAAGTGGAGTTATAAAGAATAAATGTTAATTGAATGTGTACTTATATCGCAATTGACGGAGGTACTTTATGCGTGTACATATGAAAAACGATAAGATACAACGTAATACTTGGTGTTTAAATCATACTTGCAGTGATGATTTTTTGAATAAACATTTACCAAATGCGAAAGGTCTTTGATACTCGCTTGTGTTAGATGATAACGTCAAAAGTAAGATAATATATGACTAAAATTACTGCAACTTACAGTAAAACAAAAAAATATTGTCATACAAAAAATTTAAATTTATTTTTAATATTAGTAGAGCACACTCGTAAAATTGAAACACGTGATTTTTCAGTAAAAAGTTCTCCGTCGAGTAAGTTAAAAGTAAAGATGTTATATACATGTGTATATATATATATATAATTTCGCCACACGCGCGCTCAAATAATTCTGCTCTCTCCGCGGAAAAATCGCACGCTTTTCCACCAGCCACACCTGTTCTTCATAGCAGTCACGATTTTTCTCTCTGCGACGACACGGGCACCTACTTGCACAAAAAGCACCGTCTAAACATCGTCTATATTGGTTCGCTTTTAGCGCCATGATCATCAGTGGTGTGATCATGATGGTGGTGCTCGTATGCTATTGCTGTCACAAGAACGTCCGGAAACATCGACCTCAGCAATATTCGCAGTACAACTGGAGAGCCGAACCAGACGTTCATAGCTTAGAGGTCTTCACAATGGACGCCCATGCCATGGTGAGTTTACAGAGTGTGAAGTTTATTGATATATTTCGGAGTTTATTCATATATATTTTTTATTATTTTTCTAATTCTACGATTTTATATTATGAATTGTAGCTTCTTTTCAATATGCTTTTTAATTTCCTTTTCTATATTCTTCATTATAAAATATTATAAATAAATTTGATTTTTATTAAGAAAAAAACACGTGTCAGAAAATATATTTTCTTATTATTTTACACATTCTATTAGTTAATTTTGTTTTTGTTTTTCTATAAATTAATTTTGTTTTTCTGTGTCATTGTGCTGTAGAATTTAAAAACATGCACGCTGTGAATTGAAATATAATTAAATCCAAAATTGTTCTCTCAAAATGTATTAGTTCGCTCCTCTTTTACGTCTCTCTGACGTTTTCGATTCACAGAATTCAGTCTTCTATTTTTGATATTAACAATCTGTGTAATTAGAAGCCCTTGTTGGATATTGTCCAAATTTTCTATATTTATATCGACGGAAGCTCTCCAAAATTACTCTTTGCTGGATCCGCGATGTACGTACGCGCACTGTGTGTAACATTTTTATGTGAAAAGCCACTCTTAAATTATACCGCCTACTTGACGTGCCGCCCGCAAGTTGCTCATTTCCCACCTGCCGACCTTTTACGTAACCTCTTGCAGTCGCTCACCTCTGTGGTTTTACGTCGGCAATTAAATAAAAATTCACATATCTCGTCAGAAACCACGCCTACGCGTTACACGTAAAAAAGCGCGACGCGAGAACATAAGCGAGAATTGTATGCACGTTTGTACGCCGCAATGCGACAACGTGAATACTTTACACCTTTACTTAGATCGTCCTCAAACACATACACACAGATACGTGTAAATATAAGATAAGAAAACGAAACGGCAAAATAAATAAAATATGACATGTATCGACTATAGATATCTACATGATATAAAAGATTTAGAACAACAATAAAAGACACGCAATGTAAAATCGATTAATCAAACAACAAAGATATGCGAAAAGATTTCAAGCCGCAAATATCTATCATTGTGATAGATTATTAATAAGATGTACAATATGAGATTGTGCACGCGAATGCTCAATTTATAGTATCTATTATTCACCGTTAAACGGAATATTTCATTCTTATTTTTTTACATTTTATCCTCTTGCATTTTGTTTTTTTTTGTTTTGTTTTGTTTTACGTTTCTAACAATTTTCCTCTTTCTTCAGCAATGCCTGGAGAGATCAGCGGGGACCCAGACCCATCAGGAAGAGGGAGTGCCCGCATCTCTTCCGCCGTGTCCCGTGACCTCAGGCCCACCACCAGCCTACGAAAGCCTCATTTTCAATCCCCGAGCGTTACCTTCGCCAACTGACAAGAAGGACGAGTCCGACGATCCCGGCAGCATTCTATCGCCGCCGGTGAGCAATCTGCCCAGCGAGTCGGAGGCCAATAGAATCAACAAGCGAGAGGATGTCCCGAGGGACGATCAGGGTTTACCTTCCTACGAGGCCGCCCTAAAATTAGAAGCTGACGGCTACGTCTAAAGACCGAATGGAGGTCGGAAACCCGCTTTCGACCGCGGATTCTCAGTCATGAAAATTTCAGAGCGCCGAAAGACGCAACGCGCCCGAGTCACGAACAGAACCAACGTAAGCTTCTACGTAAACGCGACAACCTGAACAAACGGCAGCTAAGGTTAATCTCGACGCGAAAGCGCATCGGTGAAAGTTGTCGTACCGGACGATGTATATGGGAGCTGAGATTGATTCTAAGGAAAGGGAAGAAAAGAGAAAGATATACACACGAGTTTATTTATTTTTCACCTCGAGTCTTTTCTATGCTTGACCTCGATATATAAGAAAAGACAATGAAACGGACAATGGGTTTTCATTTGTTATAGATTCGGCAGGGAAGAAGAAATATAGATATAGATCAATCGCGATTGTTTTTCGCGTTCAACTAACGTGCGGAATATAAGGACGAAATATTTTAAGAAATAATGCTTCTTGTTATTTTTTCTTGAGCAAAGAATATTCCGAAATTGTGAACAAGAAGAAGACTGCGAAAGACAAATGTGACGAAGTGCTTTAAATTCGTTTATCTTCGGAAACGTGTGTAAACGTGAGACAAAATGAAAGGAAAACGGCGAGGTAATTTTTCGGAAAAGCACGTACTGTTTTTCTTTCCTTCTTGCCGCCCGAGCGAAGTAACACGCAAGATTCACGAACTTTCATTCGCTACGAGAAAAGTTGCAAGAAAGTTTTCGAAAAAATGCGATATCTCGATTTTTTTACTTTCCAATTGATGATCTCTTTGATCATAACTTAATATTTTTAAACGTGCATTTGTACATAAGAGCGTAGTATAAACATGACATATTCAATTTTTAATGTAAACAGATATATGCAATTGTGTGATTGACAAATGTCAATTTGTTTACTAGTTATTTTTAATCGCTTTTTTACCGATCGGTGTTTCTCTTTTTTTTTTTTGTTTTTTGTTCCGAATATACGCAAAACTGCTGCGTAAAAAAGAGATTCTTTACGATTGAGATTCTGAAATGCAAACGGTGGTCTCTCTGTGCACGTGAACACACGGTACGAGTTGTAGTCAATGAACAGAAAGAGACCTAATTTCACAGATAATTACATTTCATAGGTACTAAGGAAGAGAATTCTTAACGGCATATTTTTTTTTCTCTCCCAGTTGGTCATTAGTTTAAAAGAGCGGACATACAAATAAAACGCGGCACCGTTAGAATAGACTTTCCGTTTGAATAAACAATGCGCATCGCTATTACACAAATGATACTTCGCGTAATATCGCGGCATTTCTGTGCAAACTGAAAACAATTAAGCTGCGAGAAGCTGCTTTGAAGTGTGTCATTTTACAATGTAGAAGTGTCTTTCCTCTGTACGATAGGTAAGAAAATGAAAAAAAAAAATAAAGAATTGGTGCATTTATAAATGTTTAATGTATATGTATATGCGTTTTCGAGCGCGCAAACTGCCAACGCGCGATGATGATTTATTATTACATTAGCGTGAATATTATTCGCTTCGGTAATTATTATCAACAAAGTTATGCGTCACGAATGAATAACGTCATTTCGATTGAGTCATACAAACGCGCGCACACTTGCGCGCTGCGTTAATTCGCAAATGCGAATATTGTTACATATTTTTCTCTTGTTGAGGCTACGACTGTGCAATAATTGGTACGGCGCGTCGTTAAAGAGAAACTCGATAAGCTTTTGTTATAAAGAAAAAAAAAAAAAGCGTGTTCGGCGTCTGTACGCGTCTTTGCGAGAGAGAGAGTCGCGAGATTATTCTGTCGCGGTTTTGCTTATACGGGATGCTCAATTATATATGACGGCAATAACAATTTGTCGCAACAGCAGATTCCGACAAAAAAAACGATAACCTTGATATCCGGAGGAAAAAATGTTCGCTCAAAGAGGCAAGCTTTTTATCGGAGCAAGCTGCGTTTCAGCGAATCGGTTATAACTGCGATAAAACGCAACGTTTTCTCGCTAAGAGCTGGATATTTAAGATGCGTGAGATACAACAAATTGTGCGGTAAAACCTTAATTGAGCGTACAAGCAGCGTCCAACATTATTTATCAGACCTGCTAAATGAGAGAAACACATAGAATTATTATTTATGTACAAACACACTAAAAATACGGAAGAGAAAGAGAGAGAAAGAGAGAGATGGAACGAAAGCTCCAATTAACGAGCTCGGATCATTTCTCCGTGTTACAACAATTATACGAAGTCGTTCAAGGCGATTCACGACTCGTTATCGATATTTAAGGCGCCTCGATACCTCAATACCTCGTGATCATTTTCGAGCTTATGACGTCAGAAACGAAACGAGAAAAATCAAGGAGAATCGTTAAAGTTTTGCGCGCTTTATTTAAAAACAAATATTTATGCACAAACGCGCGTAGAATCAACAGAGTATGTTTGTAAACTGCACCGTAGGGCTTTCGTTTCTGATTCAAAACCAGCGAAAAATATGAAGCTTTTGAAGCATGTGTCGCACATTGATACGGCTTCGTGTGTTGAAATCAAAAGAAAATCGTATATTTTACGAATGGCGCCCTATCGATTTCCGCGTGTGAGTGTTGTGTAAGTAAATGCTTCTTATTTTCGCAAAAAGTGTGCGAAAAACTTCAAGCAAGATTTTTCTCGTTTCTGATATCGTAAGATGAGTTCAGAGAGGTATAATCGCGAGGTATATTGAGAAGGCTGAAATGATTATGTAATTGCGAAAAAGACGCAATATACACAAATGTACATAAAGATCAAGTTAATACACAAAAGTCTTTTTTAACCGACGAAACAAGCGATATAAAGTCATGCGACCGTAACGCGAGTATAATTACACACAAAACGCAAATTACAATCTGCGCGTAACTTACGTCACCGTCGTAATCGACTATTCTTCGCTAAACAAGTTTTTCATCGTTTTAAAGCATTTATGTGCGAGGCATCGAAAATCGGACGTTCTCGATTAGAAATGCAATTACAGCGCGACTTCACAGAGATATCGCATGACACCGCGCGAAAGATGAAGTCGAACCGAAAATGATTTCCGGTCGCGGCTTAATTGCGGTTCCTGCGGTGAAATCCGAGATTCTCGTAACGAGTTCGCATGGAAATTCCTAATTGCTAACGATACCGCGCGCACGATCCGCGTGTATGTACGTATGTATTACACTCCGAACGGATGTGTTGTAATTAGATTAGATTTGCACAGAATAACCTGTGTGTTTACATTTCCCAACGGTGTAACGCAGAAACTGTGCCACTCTAGCCTCGTTATCAATTTAGTCAGTCGCGCGACAGCGACGTTACAGCGCTTCCGCAGATAATTCGATATTTATTGCGCGCGATCCTCTCTCTTTTTCTCACAAACTATATAATTCTTTTATGATACCGCGGGAAGAATGATGGATGCGTACAACACGATAACGTTGCGGCAATAACTTAAAATGTTCTCTAGAAAAAAAAAAAAGAAGAGAAGATATTTTAACTTTCGCACAGAAGTGTGACAGTTGAGGAAAATTTGTGAAAAAGATTTTAAAAAACGATTTTAGATGTGCAAATCAGATAAGAAGAATTTCTCCGCAACGCAAAACGCAAAATGTTTCAAAATTCTATCAGTCGGACAAAGTTATCTTTAACAAAAAAAAAAAAAAGAATCTTGGAAAATTTCAAATTCTCTTAATAATCGCGAGATTTTACTCTTGTATATCTCAAGAGGAAAATTTAAGATTTTCCTCCAACCTTCGCGAGATATAAAATATTGTGCGAGCGGTGAAAATTGTATAAAGGCGGAGGTAAGTATCAAATAATAGAGAGAATAAAATGCCGCGCATAATTCTCCTTTGATCGAACAATTACGGGACTCTTTCCAGCGAACTTATAAAATATGTAGCTGCCGGGTAATATTCCGTCATGGCTCCTCATTAAGTTTCAATCGACCATTAAACATATCGGTACTGCGTTTACGTATATATGCATTATTCAGCGATCGGCGATCGTGATCTCTCGGGCTAAAGTAAAATAACCTGTTTCGTCTATATAATCAATGCAATATATATGTGTACATATGTGTGTGTGTGCGTGTGTGTACACATATACATATAATGACTCGTGTATGCGAATGTACGAAAAGACGGGCAGAATCGCGGTCAACATAAAATGATCATCGAGTGTACGTGAATAATAGGATACGGGGGGTAGAGAGTCGTTAAGTACCAATAACGCGTTTTATTTCATCGTTCTCAATTAAAGCGACCTTTACTTTCGTGCCTTTTCAGATCAAAGGTGACGGCCGTGACGTTTGCCGAGGCAAACACGACCTCGCCGGGAACTTGCCAAACGATAAACAGAATTGCTAACAGAGCCGCAATTTTAATTGCTCAAATTTTAATTGCTGCGCAAAATAATTCATTGTCTTTATTACGATATTTTAATATTTTTATATCGTTATATATATATATATATATATATATATTTTTTTTTTTTGTTCTAAGCTAATAATAGTTTTGTTTAATAATAATGTTGACTTTTATGTGTGTGTGTGTCCGTCACGATTAAAAAGATAATGATATTTACGAGACAAGGTTTTGTGTTTTAAGAAACGTTTTTCATCGCGCGACGATTAAACGATATCGTATACGGTTTATCATACGCTGGTGATCCATGACAATACGACGTGATAGAAACTGTCAATGTAATGCGAAACTGTACATACGTGATAAAAATTTAATGCGGCAGATTGCAATACAATAAAAAGAAATGCACGCTTGTCGATATCCCGCACGTACGGAAATACGAAACAGAACGAAGGAATCTCGGTGGAATTTGCATAATTCGAGTGATATTTATTCGAAACACGCGAACGTTATCGGAATAAAGTGTACATCTATGAAATACATGTACTTGAAAAATACGTAGATGACAAAGTCGACGAACGATCTCTCGTCATTCGGTTGTATAATTTGCAGATATACCTATGTTGTTGCAACTTGCGCGATTTCGCAAACATTGTTTGCGAGTATCACAGTTGTCTAAACACAATCGCGGATTAACCTGCTTACTAACGAGTAAGCGTATTTACAAGTGTGCAAATATACAGGTCAGGAAATTGCTTGTGAGTCTTCTGTCGCGTTCAACACACACGGTTCGTTTAATAGGATATTTTAGGGTCTTAAAAACGGGGCTTCTCTTCCAGGTTCAACACGCGCTTTGCACTTGTGCGCATTCGCGCGAACGCTAGACACGTTACGCCTTATGCACATCGCAAAAATTGCACGGTTTGTTTTCATATGAAATTTCCGAGAACGGAGTGAGAGAACTCTCACGTGTAAAGAAAATTTTCTGTACGCGCAAATTTCTCTTTAAAATCGCTTTTTCGTTACAAACTTCCATTTTATACGTAGCTTTCATCTCCATGAGACGCGCGACAGAGCGTCAAATTTTAGCCGTAAATTTCGCGCGCGCGCGCGCGGAGCGGATTTCACGCAAAAATTGGCGAGATGAGCCGAGAGCTCGCATCTCCGCAACGATTGAACCGATTGATCGAGTTCTAACTAAAGATTCCATCGATAGTTGGAGTTAATTGCATAATAAAAACGGTTTACACTCGCCGTAATATTTATAAACGAAGATCGTCGAAAGTTTCAATCGAATGACAAAGTGTAAGCGCGAAATTCTTATTTGAAAAACGTCGTCGAGTAAAACAATTAAATCACGTCATTGTCGAGTGATGTTATGAACAAATACTTGCACGCACTTCTCTGACGTATTCGCGTGACTCGAGTCAGACGATTGTGTTATTGATGACACATTCAATAAACACGTTTCCAACCAGCCTTGTGTAATTTTATTGTAATTTTCAGCGAATTAACGGAAAAAGACTGGCTTTGTCTCACATTTATACGTATATAAGATTGTAGCAAGGCAGATAGTTTATTTGCCTTATCGCAGGTGTACATTTCGTATACATATACGAGCGCACGTAACATCTGTTTGTCATTACCGTCTGCAGTTTTTTGGTAATAAAAAAACGGCAACATTAAAGAGAGATCAAGAAAGAAAGACTCATTAACAGCATCGAATAATTAATGATAACATTGCGAGATATTTTTTTTATCGAGATTTCAAAATTCGCCAAGGCGTTAATGCTCCGAATTCACGATACGGGGGCACGGTTCAATTCGCCGTTAAAATTGGCAGCTGGTGGTGCGCTGCAAGCGCTGCAATAAAAGACGAGCGATTATAAAACGCCGTGCAGCGTAAGGAGATAAAGTGTAATAGGACGGTATATTACGTTATTACGATGTCGAAGCGAGGGGTGTAATACCTCATCGAACTATTGCAACCGCGCGCTCGCATATATACATATATATATATACACACAAAGGAACGTACGTGCAAAACTCGTAAAGAAGAGAGTCAGCACCGGTGATGGTAAATCGCGCCGATAAATCGCCGGGCGAGATATATGCTGCCTATTATCACGTCGATAGTGCGAGTAAATCGGAGGGATCGATACATCTATCGGGAAAGGTACGGTTGATTAAACTCTGTCCGGCGCGATTCCGACGATGCGCGTTAAATTTCGCGACGACGAGTACATAACTCACTTTTATTTCGCGATAATTTGGCCATTGAATCAGTCAATGATATCGACAATGTGCCGTGAATGTACGTTTATATAAATTGTCGAAATTTATCGCGGAATAGAACAAACGAGAAGTGTAATGTGATAAAAAAAAAAAAAAAAAAAAAAAAAAACATTTTGTTGGGAAAATTGATTAAATGGCGTAAATATACCAAGCTTAAAAAAAAAAAAAAAAACACCTTTTCCTTTCTCTTTATTTTTTAGCGATCTTTGAATTTTTGTAATTATATATATCATTACAGAACAATTAACGATGCAGAAGCTTCCAAGACTTTAAACAACATAATTTTGTTTTCTCCCAGCTCGTTCTTTTGAAAGAACGGAAATTACTTCGTACTTTGAGATTTAATTGTCAAGGAATTTAGTAATGAAAAACTTCATCGAAACTCTACTTTATGAATGTCTGTTGTTGAAGATGCGGAGAGAGAGAGAGAGATAGAGTTTCCGAACGCGTACTAGGGTTTTAAACAATAGGAAATAAATAAAAGATGCTTTTTCGCAAACAATAAGAGAGAGAAAGAGAGAGAGTCTATCTTTTAGATGGTATCGACAGAATCATATAATTGCAAATTAATTGAAAACGTTTCGATTTCTTGCCCGAGTATCTTCTTCAGAATGGGATTACGAGAAAAAAATTGAGATGTTACATTAAAATAATCAATTGTTTAATTTTCCCCGTGACGTAAGTTTGTCAAAATATTTTCTGTCGCGGATGGTCGCGCTTATTTTAATGATTTTAGTCTTTTACACTATTTTAGAATGAACTTATTTACGAGTGAACGTACGTATTTCCGTCTAGGCGCGCACGCGAACTGCATAAGCCGCGATGCATTACAAATGCATGGTACGGAGCGAGTGTAACGATCTCGCGACGAGAATGGAAAGGCAAAAGGCGGATCGAGCGCCGGAGATATTTTTTGCAACCGATGGAGATTTGCGTGCTCGATAGGATTCTTCGAGCGAGCCTTTTTGGAAGCAACTTGTTTTGTTATATAACAAATGTTTTTGATTGTCTCTCGTCTATTTGAACAAAAGAAGTCTGAGTTGTCTGAGCTTCAGTTTATCGCCGAGAACGAGAAAGTTGGTTGAAAGTTCAGACGAGAGATCGGCTCTAAAGACAACAACAAATATTTGTTATGCAGTAAACTGTATAACTGTAAATTAAAAAAAAAAAGGTTTAAAAAATATAACGACTATAAAAAGAACTATAAAAAGACTTAAGTTAAAAGACTCTTACTTCTGTATTAACAAAGAGAATAACTTCTTAATTGTTTTTTGCGAAAAAAAAAAGATTTTAGCAGGAACAAATAAAAAAACAACTAGACTTTACAACAAGGACGTGTGCGATCCTTTCTCTTTCATCAACACGCGCGCGACTTAGCCGACAAAATGAGGCGCATCGATCACACATTTTCACCCGATTTCAAATTTTTCATTGTTTATATATTCGAGATAATTACTTTATATCATACTTTACTAAATTCAATACTATAATATATATATATATATATATAATATACATATATATGTCATGTCATATATCATGTAATCGCCGATGACGTTTATCGATTGTCATTCTGTGTGAATGAAAGCAATATATGACAACAAATGTGACGTTTAATGTAATAAACTTTGCGACAAAGGATTATCGCGAGACCGGTTTAATCGCGAGTAAAAAACAGGCGAGTTTCGGTGCGAGTATACAAGAGAGACGCGAGGATAAAAGCGAAGGCGAGGTCCGATGCGTTTTTTTTTTTCTCGTATCCACGGCGAGAGGAGAAGGAAGAGAACAGTGGCGAAAACGAGCTGGACCAAGGCGAGATTGAAAGAGCGATCGGAGCACACACATACACATATCATCTCAACTCACCTAACCTTCCGGCGCGACGATCCTGCGGCCGGGATACGCGGCGTGTTCCGTCCCAGCTTGCACAGGCGACGAAGAGACGCGCGTCGTCCTTGCACGCGCGCGATGCACGATTCACGCAAGTGAGCACGCACGAGTTACGCGACGGCGGAGGCATCAATGGATAGTAGGAGAGACGCGTGAGTAACGGTACGTCTTGGCCATGTCGGGAGAGGAATGACAGAGGTGGGAGGGTGGAAGGAAGAAAACAAGTGGGAGCGAGCGAGAGGTGACACGGGGAAGGTGGGGGATACGATTTAGCGCGCGCACGCACCGTGTCCATCCGAAGGGACACCGCCTCGACTTGGACGCGGCGATTACCTTGTTGTCGTTGTCGCGACTGACCCTTCGCCGTCGGTAACGCGCGTTCTAACGCGAGAGAGAGAGAAACAAGAAATAAACACCTCTCTCGTGCAATCGCGGCGCGCATCGTACACTTGGCGCAGCTGGCCGCGACACTGCGACCGTGGTGTGTCGCAATTCCTCGCCTCGAAACGGCGTCGCCGACGACATCGTGCGGCGTTCGACGAAGATCATGTGAATGATCTGAAAAAAAAAAGAGTAACAAATAAAACTGATGAACAAATTTGTTCGACATGTTTCGCACGATCTCTGAGAGTAATATATCACAAATCGCGCAGATTATCGGAAACTTTTTTCTGATTTTCCAGCAAACAAATATCAATTTTATTTATTCATCTGCGTGATTGCTAATTATATTAAATATCGCTGATGGTATATGGAAACATTAGTTTATTTCTATATGCGCGACAAGAATTCATATTTTTCTGTTCTGACGTCGTTATTTTTTTTCTTTATCTAATTGCTAACAATGAACTGTATATTTTCTCTTTCTTTCTCTCATAAAATGTATGAAACTTGTATAAAAAAAAAGTCAAACATTTATACACATAATAAAATAAATAAAAAGAACCAGTAATATACTTTATATCATTACCTTTAAAAAAGAGTTTTGATTACATTTCGAAAAGAAAACATGTTTTTTTTTTTTCTTACATGAGAAAAGTAGATGACGCCTGTTGTCAGTTTAGTAACGTTTTGACGCGGCACATGCAATAAATTCGCGCATTAGTCGTTAGATGGTGCTGAACATAGACGTGCGAACTGTAAAGCCGAGACACGCAAAAAAACTTACGCAGTAAGCAAATCGTCCTATCACAGGTCGGCATTTTCTCGAATGTAGGACTACGTTCGAAAGAATCACGGTCTGTGATTGGTTGATTTGCTTGATGCTTGAGTCTTGCCGCTTATGTTTTTTCATGTGTTTCCGGCTTAAAAAATAGCAAGCAACGTCAGACATTAGAAAAAGAGCGCAATAATTGAGCGGAATATTTCTATCTTTTTCTGGCTCTGAAATAAATGCGGAGCTCGCTTGTCATCAATCTAAAATACAAGAAAAAAAGTGCAAAATTTAGGAAGAATTTTTTTTTAATTTTTGCCTGGTTAAAAAATAATAGAACAATACTCTTTAAAAAAAAGACCAGTTTTTTTTCTTTATTTCTCAGTGCTAGGATCTGGATGACAAGTCTATCTTTTAACTATCCTATGGCCAAACTGCTCGTTTTGTTATCGTTAGTACATATATATATTGTGTACGATCGTTATTCCGGTGTGGCAGGAAATATGATAATTACCCGTATGGTCTAGGCCGCCGTTTGATAATAACATGCCGCTAATATATGATAAGCTGCGCACGTCTGCAGACCATTTTAAAGTAAAACTAATCATCGAGGGATCCTTAAGAGATTATGATTGCAGAGAGACGCTGAAAGTGACACATGTCTTATTGTAAAATAACACTGACAACAGTCATTTTTATCTTGGCCTTCGCGCAAACAAGTGTTTTATTTATTTCCATTGGTGTGCGATAAGAGAGAATCAGGTAAGACCAAGATTTTATTTCATTATTAGCGGCTTCTTTGACATGTATACATTTGTGTTTTTACTGCTGACATTTTTTATTTTTTTTTCAATAATATATAATCTTCTTTCTTTTTTTTATAATTGTATTATTTAAATTCTGTTAATAAAGTAAGTTTTATTAATAAATAACAAGTATAAATATATAAATTTCCTTTTGATACAAATATATATAAATATAAACTCTCTTTCTGTTCTGTAGCTAACATGATTGGAATTGGAATATATCATTTGGGATTATATCTGTTATTATTCGAAAGCTGCATTGGCAATTATGTCAGATGGGATATGCAACTGCTATGTCCAGACTTATATCCAAAAGTATTTACAAGCTATTTGCCGCGTGGAAATTTAACTGGTGGAACTTATACTCAGCAACCTCACTTATTAAATATACAAGACTGTGTTATGGCATGTTGCAAGAAATCTTCATGTAATGTAGCATTTATGCACAATAGTACATGTTATCACATAGAATGTGACACTTCCATGATGTGCATACCATTGTATAGACCCGAATTAGCAAATGATAATCCACCAAGTATGGTATTAGTTAGACCTGTAGAGAGCAACAAAATGTGGAGTGATCTGTTGGATCAAGTAGTCAGTGATGATACTATTGGGTAAGTTTCACAATTACAAATAGATAAACATCTAATATTTTTTACAAAATGTATAAAAATAATCTTTGTATATGGTTTTTTAGAACATTGAGTACAGATGGTATTGATCAAGATCAAGTCTTATTTAATGCAAACAAGATCGGTTGTATAGATCAAACAGGCTGTCTAGATAATGAGATCTGTGTGAAACGTGAAGATGATGTTGGAATTTGTCAATGTCCTTTAGGCTTCAAGCGTAATATTGCTGGTATATATTATAATATCTAATATTTCACAGTTACTTATTTGTGTATAGTATTTTTTGTGAATTTATTTTGTAACTTGTAAATGTTGTGCATAAAGTTTTGACCGCAAAAGCATCAAATATTAAATTTTCTTAATTGTTCATCTATATGTACAGGAATTTTCTTAATTGTTCATCTATATATACAGGAACTTGTATAATGATGGACGAAATAGACACTGCTGAACTAGCTGTAACACAACAACCAAAAGTTTCAACTATAAAAGATGCTACCACATCAATGAAACCAACAATGAAACAATTGTTGGTCTCAGTGGTGTCCAAAGAAGTGAGATTGCCAGAAAACGAAGTCACATTGTCTGCATATACTGTTCCTGCTGAACGAGGAAATCAACGCTACAATTACGCATGGAGTCTGCTGAGTCAACCAGAAGGTCATACTGGAACAATGACCGATCAGAATCGTGTTACTGTCAAGTTAAGCAATTTGTCAGAAGGATTGTATACATTTAAAGTAGCTGTGAGCAGTCCGAATGCTTATGGAGAAGCTTATGCTAACGTCAGTGTTTTACCCCGTAAGCGATCTAAGTCTTTTTTTTTTTTTTTTTTTTTTTTAGGAAGTGCGGAATATAAATTACTCGAATGTATTTGTTTGATTTTTAGCTAAACGTATCAACCAAGCGCCAATTGCTATAATCACACCTGCTTCGCAAATTGTGAAACTACCAAATACAGGCGCGGTTTTAGATGGCTCGAGTAGCAAGGACGACGATCGTGTCATCTCTTATCATTGGGAGTTGCAACAAGGTCCAATTGGATATCAGCCCAACCTTGTGGATACACCCACGCTTCAACTAAACAATCTTATTGCTGGCAATTATACATTCAAGTTAGTACATCAGTGTTTTTGATATAATAATCAAACGTTTTTATTATCTTCAAACCGACGTGTTTGATGTAAGAGCATTTTCTTAATAAATTGATATGCATTTGCAGATTAACGGTTGAAGATTCAGATCACATTACAAATTCGACGAGTGCCAATATAACTGTTTTAAAAGTGACCGATTATCCTCCAAGCGCAAATGCGGGACAAAATGTTATTATTTATCTGCCTCAAAATACACTAACCCTCAATGGCAATTTGAGCACCGACGATCGAGGAATTGCGAGTTGGGAATGGACAAAAAGTCCATCCGATCAGAATAAAGCAGTTGATATGCAAAATACAAGAACACCTTATTTACAGTTATCAAATCTTGAAGAAGGAATGTATACGTTTGTACTTAAAGTCACAGATGACTCCGAACAATCTTCTACGGCAGAAGTGCATGTGTTTGTAAAACCTCCAACAAATAAACCACCAAAAGGTTGATACTTATTTTTGTTATGTTTATCTTAAGACGTTTTATCTGTAAATAAATTTTCATTGATTCACTTTGTTATAAAGCCGACGCGGGTGACGATATAAGCATAGCATTGCCAACAACACGTGCTGTTTTAAATGGTACAAGAAGCAAAGATGACATAAAGATTGTTTTGTATCACTGGGAGCAAGTAAGGTACAATGTATCTAATTTACTACATCTCATATTACCATGCCACATTGTTCTTTGAATTTATATACGCTTGTTTTTACAGTGGGCCTAACAATGCCGAATTTGCAACAGCGAATGAATCTATTACAAACATTACAAAACTAACTAAAGGCGATTATGTATTTAAATTGACCGTTGTTGATGATAATGGAAATGCAGATTCGGATACGGTCAGTGTAAAGGTAACACAAAGTACGTACTATCTTTGCAAGTTTTATATTATTTTGTAATCTTCTAAATATTGAACGTGAATTACAAGAACTTGTATTTTTCATAGATAAAAATGCACCTCCGAAAGCAAATGCTGGTGGCGATCAAGTTGTGACAGCGCCGATTAGCGCGTTAATTATTAATGGTTCACAATCGAGTGATGACTTAAGAATAGGACAGTGGCTGTGGACCAGAGATCAATCTAGTCTTGCGATTGGCACTATAGTTCAAGATACGGATAAATCACCAGTTTTAATGGTAAGATAAAAAGTTTAATTCACACGTGTAACAAAATATATACGATTTTTCAGTATGTATGTATAAATATTTTATATGTTTGATCATAATATATATACTCTTTCCATTATCAATAAATGAATTTTTCTATCTTTTTTTTCTATAGCTAACGGACATAGTTCCTGGTCGTTATGTTTTTCGACTAAAAGTAACGGATGATCAAGGTCTGAGCAGTGAAGACACCGTGTCGGTAATCGTGAAACCTGGTTGGTATTGATCGAAAATAATATATATATGTTGTTTTCTAACGTTTATATAATTTTGTAGAAGTTAACAATTTTTTTGTTTCACTTTTAGATCCACAATTGTTACATTTGGTAGAACTAACGCTAAACATTGGGGCGAGCATGTTAACTGTTTCGCAAAAAAATTCGTTGGTAGTAAAACTACAAATGTTATTGCGAGACGAAGCTTCGATTGTTGTACGAAATTTGAGAGCAGAACCGCACACTGGAAAAGCTGTTTTGGTGTTTTACGTCGAAAAGAAGGGAGGAAAAACGTTGTCAGGTCCAGATGTAGTTAAACGATTGAAAGAAAAATTGTTACAAGATTCCGGTCTCTTACAGTTATCAGTTGCTAATATAGATACTGCTGTATGTCAAAACAATTGTTCAGGTATATAATTGAAAATATGCGTATAGATTTTTGTTAAAATTTTAAAGGTAACGTATTCTTATGTGTGTTATTCTAGGTCACGGTGTTTGCAATCAAGAAACGAGACAATGTTTATGCGAAGCATTTTGGATGCAGAACTTAATACAAAAGTATTTTGGCAATGGAGACTCTAATTGTGGTATGTCTAAATTGTTCTTTTAATTATATCATTTATTCCTTCTATCGCATCACTTGATTAAGATTATTTCAGTGTACGTATCTATATTACAGTTAGAAGATATTTTTTCAATATAAACTATTTTATATTTAACGCATGACATTTTTAATTGTATTTAAAGTGTACTTTCTCGCGTTTTTCAGACTGGAGCATTCTATATGTGATAATATCACTGCTATCGTTAGTTGTATGTTGGGTTGGCCTCATTTGGGGACTTGTTTGCCTATGCCAAAGAATATGCTCTGGTAAGAGACGTTTACTTCGGCCTAAGAAGAAACCAGCACGTTACTCATTGCTGCAACCGGAGCCAGAAGATGACAGCAGTGCATGTAAATACTTCTTTTAAATCTCTTTCAAAGTTACTTTTTCTAGAAAATATTTAAACAACAAAAATGTTATGTTTTTGTAAGTGTTATAACTATTTTTTCCCGTTATATATATATATAGTTTCAACTCATAACAAGATGGTGTTGTCGGAATCGGACACCGATTCTGACGATGTTTTGTTCGAACATCGTAAGAGTAAAAACGGCAGTCACATAAGAAATGGTAAATCACGAAATGGTTTTATCAAAGTTGGATCTCGAGTAAAGACATGAGGTAATAAATAGAAAAACTTATACTTCGTATTAAGACACACACACTTTCTTATTTCCTTACGTGCTTTTTACACATTTCAGAAGTGCAATGATAACGGTGCGAAGATAAATAACGCACACAGTCGTGTAAGTCTGGCCAAACTTAAAATACTAGTCATAAAAAAAAAAAAAAATGTAAAATGACCTACGGTACCTTCTGAAAACGATCATCTAAAAGATCGATAACAATATTCTGAGATAGATGATACTCTTAAGTATTGTTTATACATACACAAAAGAGAACATTAACGTGTCACATACTACGTCACGTTATTCGTCTTAAGTATTACCCAAGTTTGTCTTGTTATTTATTGTGTGTGATTTTTTTTATAAGCGTCAATAATCGATGATGTGTTGATCCATAATCATCACGTCATTCGTTAAACTATTTGAGAGCTTATCTAAGTATTATATTATGGCCTCAGAAAGTATATTTAAAGTCGATATGTGTAGTAAGCACACTATCATGTCTATATGTCATTTATATATGCTACTTAATCTTTAATATGTACATCGTCAATCTTATTTTTACACTATGGATATTAAATAAAATTTACTATCCATGCACATATATTGTTTACTGATTTCTATACCTACTTTTAAAAAAAAAACAAACATACAAACATACAAACGTGTAAGTGACGTATAAGTCAATTTTGTTATTTATAAATAAATTCTGTTTATTATAAACAAATGATTGTTTCTCAAATGTTTAAAGCTTTTTGAAAAAGTAATTCAGATATGAAAGATGTAATTTTTACGAGTGAGTGGTTTAGATTTTGCGTTTCAAGGAAGTTCCCGTAACGTATTTAGCTCATAGCCTGTTTTAAAGCTATTTTTAACTCGCTACTGGGATGTACAAGTTTCAAGCAGCAAGAAGACTTCGATTCGTGCGACTCGTCGATTTACTTTCATATCTTCCATTTACTCATATTTTAAGTTTTTGGTGAGTTATCATATATTGTGATTTTTATTTATCGAATATATGTATTACATATACATATACTTTTATATTGCATTTTTATCAATCATACATTTTATCACATAGCGCGCTGTATTCAATGAATTTCTTGAATTGTTCGATGAAACGTTCTTCAAACAATTGTTGCAATCGTGAGGTTGCAAATAGTGATTTTGGAAGTTGTGATCATATTTACGCAAGTTTGATGGAATGTAAAAATGTAAACTCCGAAGGTTTTACTGAGGTCGAATCAGCACCAATAACATCGCAAAATAAACAACAGTAAGCAACGTTTTTAAGTCCACTTAAGTAACAAAAATTTATTGCATATTCAATATGTTCAAAATTATTTCCCAACACGCGCAAGCAGTAGATAATTTATATAACTTTTTATATCAAGATATTCTCTCTCAAAAACAAATTAAATTTTTAACAGATTTTAAAATATATTTTTGTCATAGATATAATTAATTCTTTTGATCACTTCTAGTAATGAGGATTATAAAAAGAAACCTGTTTCTTGGTCCGCAAATTCGAACAATTTTACATATCACCAGTCTTCTCCTTCTGTTTTGCCTAACAAAATGAACTGTGATGTCGATAAAGAATCGAAAGAAACAACACATTCCCCGTATAGAGTGCTACATGATGCAAACTACTTATGTCCTAGATGTGGGCAGAGAATGGAAGAACCTAGACTTCTTCCTTGTTTACATACTATATGTTTATCATGCGTTTACGAATTGATAAACAAATGTAGGTAGTGAAATAAGCACTTCACATTATTTAATATCACAACTGTTATAGACACTCATTGATTGTTTTAAACATACATATTTCATCTTTTTATGTGTGCATCAAGAGGATTGTATCTTTGCAGTTTCGTACATTTCTGCAAAACCCGAAATACAGAATAATCGAACGTACGCGCAGCTCAATATCCAGGAAACATGCCCATTGTGCGACGAGCAGTTGCCAAATATGTATTCTGCCGTACCACCACCTCATTATCCCTTGCAACATCAATTAGTTCTCGATAGTATGAGATGTAAACTGATTAATAAAGTACTTTGTGATACATGCGTGAGCGAAGTCCCGGTAATTAGATACATTTATTATAACTTTGTTCATTTTATACTTAGACTAAAATTTGTATTTTTTTCTGAATGTTATTTTTTAAGGCGCTCATGCAGTGTTCCACCTGTTTGTGTAATTTATGCTTAGAATGCAGCAAAAAACATGAACAACAAAATATTGTAGAAGCGAAAACAATAAAACACTTAATGAGACCAATGTGGGAGGCTACTAAAGTACGACGGACAGTTTTATGTCAAATACATTCAACACACGCTTTAAGATTCTATTGCATTGCGTGTCAACAGGTTTATAAAACATAATTTGTTTTAAATTGTGACTGTATATATGAATGAGTTTGAGAAAAACATTAATTATATAATATTTTCAGGTAACATGCAAAGAATGCATGTGGAGTACTCAACACAGAGGTCATGCTAGTGAAGATGCTGTTGGAGCAGGACAAAGAGCTTGTGCGTACCTAACAATGATGTTGCAAAAGGCAAGATTATTTCTAAATAATCTATTGATTCAATATAATCACGATGCATTTTCACACAACGATTTTGACGAGTCGCAAAGCGTAGCAAAAACTTCCAGGTATGTGTTCACTTTTATATTATATTATAAATAAAAAAATTAAGAAAAACTAATATTAAAAAAATAATTCTTACTTTAACTGCATAATAAAAACTGTATGGGACCATGTATATAAAAAGTGCATTTTTGTTGATATTTAAAAATAGATATATCGCATGAGGTACACAATTGTCATGTGATTTATATTTTATGCAAATACGTAATCACATAAAAATAAAAAAATGTAGCAAAATAATTGTCATTTGAGGTAAAATATTCTAAAGGAATTATTCGCAAATAAATATTAATAAAAAAAATACTATAATTTAAATATATATTACAATAAATGTTCTCAATTGATATAAAAATTGAGAATATCTAATACTCTAATAATATGAATGTATGAAAGATCTTTTAATGTATTATATATTTATATAATAGAGTATATTAGGAATAGACATATTTAAAAACAAAAAAAAAGAATTGTGTAATAATTATAGTTATAAAATAGTTAATTAAAACAAGAGATACCTTTGGCTTGATGCAAATTTATGTAAATAAAGAAAATGCTGAATCCAAATTTGTCATCCTCCTTTATTCCTGTCACGTTTTGTATTTTTTATAACCAAATTTCATTTTATAGTATGGTTCTATTCTCCAACTGTTCATTGAAATTCTTCCTATCAGAATTAATTCCGATCGAAATAAAAAATTTCACTTTTTTGTTGTTATATTTTATGATACTGAGTACATCGAAATATGTGTTACGTGCATATGTAACGGTAGAAAATTTAGCAACGGGTACGTAAAATGGTGCAAAATATATTTGATGGATCCTAGTCTATAAGTGAAGAAGAGAGATTAAAAGTAAGTAGACAGATTAACATCAATTATATTTCTATAATAATTATTAATATAATAATTTATATTTCTATAAATAATTTGTTTTATTATAAAATGTATGTAAATTTATTTTATTTAAAAAGTTGCTTTTATCTCAGCTTTTTCTTCTCTCTCAACTTCTTCCTGATTTTAATACTGCGTCATATAACTCATATTTTCTACTTATATAAGTACACACAGCTTAAAAATTGTAATAAAACTGTTAAACCGTTTTTAAGTAATACCTTTTTATAGAAGATAGTGGCACCGCTTTTTATTTGTATCAGTTAAATAGGCCTCTACTGAACTTCTTAACTGATGTTGCGTTTGTTAAATATGCGAAATGTTATTTGACTCAATATAGTTAATGCACAAAAAGTCATGGAGAGATGGTTTTCAAAAATTCGATGACTATAATGTCATTAGTGAAATAAAGAAATTTATTTTTTAGTTTATATTAAGACTTACAATGTAAGGTGACGCATAGTTTTTCGTATATTCAAGCAACGTCCGTTACGTAATATAGATCCACAGCAAGACCAATGATGAACACCTGGATGTCCGACGTGTCCGTGACCGCAACCTTTATATCCTCCTTTAATAACAGTAATACAATTTTTACAAAATCAGTAATCCATTTTTCTCTTACTTATCTTCATAACTTTATACAAATATAATACAATAATCAATTTGCTTACCAGGCATCGTGCCTCTACAGCCACAAGTAACTTCCTTTCTTCCACCACTAGAACAGAAAGTGCAGCAATGATAAATACCACTATGTGTAAGCCTCAAGGCTGATAGTCTAGCATCCTTGTAGTGTCGCTCTGCAACGAAATATAATGCATATCAATTTTCTATACAAAAAACTTAACATGTAAAATACGTACCATCTTCTTCACGAGTTGTTACGTTTGTCACACCTAATTTATTAAATCTTCTTACTATTGTTCCGGCAAGTATTAACATTTCTATCTCAGAACCATCGGCAAGCAGATCGTTTATTAGCGTAATAGCGTCTAGAAGATGCCTTGCTCTTTGCAAACGATCAAATTCTTGAATTCTCTCTTGAGCCTGTTTTACGTGAAGCAAAAAATCTTGATGATCCGGTAGACTTAAAACATCTGCGTTACTTTCAGAATATCTGTATAAAAATGCATGTTTATAATATAATAGTTCAGTGTGCGCACAATTTATATCTCGCACATGTTACACATTGTCATGTGATATTCATCTTCGACTTAAAATGCAATATTATAACCTTATTGTCATTTGAGGTACTCATATACTTTGTATAATCGATAATAATTAAGCTTTTTAATACTTCTTGTATTTATTAATGACAATCGCATATGTATCTTACTCTTTTCAAAGAGTACGTTTACTCTTATCATACAATATTAAATGTATAAAGAAAGCTTGTACCTAAAACTACTGTATTAAAAGCTATAAAAATATGTACATATAAACACAAAAGAATGTTTTAATATATGTTATATATATATATAAACTTAAAAACTTATCTACGTAAACTTATGTTTTATATTTTATCTTCTAAAATAGAAAAATATTATTTGTAGTCCAAGCTGTGTCAGTGATTTTCTTCCTGCATACGAGTGCAATAATTAATAATATAAAGTGTGTATATCATTTAGATATATGCTTATTATATACTGCAACTAAGAGCTACTCCTAGGAAATCTTCAAATCCAATAGTTATTGTCCCAGTTTGATCTGTGTCTCTTTTCCTAAATGCTTCTGTAACACAACACACACACACATAGTGTATAATTTAATAAACAGATGCTAAAAGTTTCATTTTTATTTCCCAAAATTTATAGAAAATAAATTACCTGTAAATCTTTGTATTTGTACACATAATACTATAAATTGGTCAACAGTAATAGACTTATGACCTTTAAGATCACTGTTTTTAATGAGATAATTAATAAACTCTGGACTGAGTCTGTAACCCATTTGTGTTAAAGCAGCATTCAATTCATTTTCCTGAATACTTCCTGAGTTATCATGATCAAAACCACGAAAAACACCAAGCCAAGCATTTATATAATTATAGAGAGCTTGGAACTCTGATACGTTTATAGTGCCATCCTTCTCTTTATCAAACATACCTGTAGATCAAATGAGACAATTTCTTCTTCAATATATATATCTTTAGAAGTATTATTTAAATATATTACATTTGTCTACTTTAATGGTATAAAAAAAAAAAATCAAAATTTTCTATGAACATACCAATCATTAATTTGCATGCTGTGTCAGAAAAAGTACCACCTTGACCATTAGCCAATGCTGATTGTAATTCAGTAGCTGTTATACGTCCGCTTTTATCTCTGTCTACCATCGAAAACCATTGCTGAACATCTGGACTTACTTCAGATTCGAGATTGGTGGAACCGTACATGGCGTTCTTAAAGAAATAGATAAATAAGCAAACATAATCATTAATTGAAACATGTTATGATAAAAACTGTTCATTTTCTCATCTCCACAATCATGTGCAAAATTTAACGCATACTTATCAAGCAATTTAATACAGTGTCAATGCGAGTAAAAACAAAACAAAATACTAAATTACACATCTAACTACATATTAGCGCTGTGTGCGTAAATACTATTGTTATAGCTATTATTTCTCAAAATTACCGGATATGCCATCACTGAAACTGTCTAATTCTAAAACAGCACGAATTATTATATGGTTTCTCTCAAACTGTCATCACAAAATCCTATATTTTACTCTAGTATTATTATATTACATAATGACGTAAAATACACTCACGATTCACACTTAAAAAATGTTTATTATCACAGTGAAAACGCACTGTGTTGTATTCGAAAATAATTTTTTTTTTTTTATCAATAATGCCTATTCGAGAGCGGCCAGGCCCACAAGAATTTTTGGAATCGCTTTTCCGCCCGTTAAGCTAGCGCATGTCCATGGGTGGTGCACATTGATAACTACGTAACGATGTCCACGAGTGACTTGTCGATACGTACGCTATGTCCAAACGTGGACATGGTTTTATTCCGTGCTATGTCCACGACCGTGCGGTTCTATTCCGTGCTATGTGCACAAGTCCGAACGTGTTTCACCTTTGGTCGGATTGGTGGGAAAGTAACGGAACATAGTACGTCTGCGTTCTTCTACGAGCCGAACAGCTGATCGCACACGGACGGAAGTGCCGGCTCGATCTTGCAACTTTGGCAAAACCATAGACGTATAATATATAGACTGCGCGTTTGGCTGAAAAGATGTCTTCAACGTTGAGAGAGACAACATACTTTGAATAGTAACTCTTTCTCTGTCTATCATTTACCCCACTACTTCGCTAGACAAAGATGAGGCTACTATTCAACACC